AAACGTCGTCGTCCCTTCACCTTCTAGTGTGGGGTCTGGTCAAACTACTTCAGCCACGTTATTGTGATTCATCGCCTGCGTCGTACTGCATGTGAGAACACATCTGCATCAAAACAAATGTACTGTGTATATAGCATGTGTTGTGAGCAAGTTCTCACAAAGTATGACATGGCCCAGGGAATGTATCCGCTACTTTTCTGTTCTGGTGGTGTTCTGTGCAAGTTACAATGTGCATGTCATCATGACTCCATGTTAAGCCGAACGTCTGGCCATAGACATCACCTGTATGAGTGGCGTGGTGTCGAGTGTGAGATGTGTGTATCTGGGGAGTCTTGGAGACGTGAGGGTTCGATCCCACTGTATCGCCTCAATATGTACTCGTAGATACACTATTCTGATTTAGTTGAGCAGGGTATTATTAAATGTAAACAGGCGTCCATTGGTTATAGAACTAAGGGTTACTGGTTAGGTACTGAGTAATAATGAAGAGGAAAAAGTGTGTGGATGGTCAACAAGTCTGCGAACAAGATGGCCAATGGCCTCGGACCGGGCTTGAGGAGAACTACCCCTCCCAGAACCGCACCAAGTGGGGTACCAAGCAGGTAATAGGATACATTCGTACAATAGGAATACAGCAGCAGCAGTAGTAGTGCAGTAGGAATACAGTAGCAGCAGCAGCAGTAGTAGTAGTGCAACAGGAATACAGTAGCAGCAGCAGCAGTAGTAGTAGTGCAACAGGAATACAGTAGCAGCAGCAGCAGTAGTAGTAGTGCAACAGGAATACAGTAGCAGCAGCAGCAGTAGTAGTAGTGCAACAGGAATACAGTAGCAGCAGCAGCAGTAGTAGTAGTGCAACAGGAATACAGTAGCAACAGCAGCAGTAGTAGTAGTGCAACAGGAATACAGTAGCAGCAGCAGCAGTAGTAGTAGTGCAACAGGAATACAGTAGCAGCAGCAGCAGCAGTAGTAGTGCAACAGGAATACAGTAGCAGCAGCAGTAGTAGTGCAACAGGAATACAGTAGCAGCAGCAGCAGCAGTAGTAGTGCAACAGGAATACAGTAGCAGCAGCAGCAGTAGTAGTAGTGCAACAGGAATACAGTAGCAACAGCAGCAGTAGTAGTAGTGCAACAGGAATACAGTAGCAGCAGCAGCAGTAGTAGTAGTGCAACAGGAATACAGTAGCAGCAGCAGCAGTAGTAGTAGTGCAACAGGAATACAGTAGCAACAGCAGCAGTAGTAGTAGTGCAACAGGAATACAGTAGCAGCAGCAGCAGTAGTAGTAGTGCAACAGGAATACAGTAGCAGCAGCAGCAGCAGTAGTAGTGCAACAGGAATACAGTAGCAGCAGCAGTAGTAGTGCAACAGGAATACAGTAGCAGCAGCAGTAGTAGTGCAACAGGAATACAGTAGCAGCAGCAGCAGCAGTAGTAGTGCAACAGGAATACAGTAGCAGCAGCAGCAGTAGTAGTAGTGCAACAGGAATACAGTAGCAACAGCAGCAGTAGTAGTAGTGCAACAGGAATACAGTAGCAGCAGCAGCAGTAGTAGTAGTGCAACAGGAATACAGTAGCAGCAGCAGCAGTAGTAGTAGTGCAACAGGAATACAGTAGCAACAGCAGCAGTAGTAGTAGTGCAACAGGAATACAGTAGCAGCAGCAGCAGTAGTAGTAGTGCAACAGGAATACAGTAGCAGCAGCAGCAGCAGTAGTAGTGCAACAGGAATACAGTAGCAGCAGCAGTAGTAGTGCAACAGGAATACAGTAGCAGCAGCAGCAGTAGTAGTAGTGCAACAGGAATACAGTAGCAGCAGCAGCAGTAGTAGTAGTGCAACAGGAATACAGTAGCAACAGCAGCAGTAGTAGTAGTGCAACAGGAATACAGTAGCAACAGCAGCAGTAGTAGTAGTGCAACAGGAATACAGTAGCAACAGCAGCAGTAGTAGTAGTGCAACAGGAATACAGTAGCAACAGCAGCAGTAGTAGTAGTGCAACAGGAATACAGTAGCAACAGCAGCAGTAGTAGTAGTGCAACAGGAATACAGTAGCAACAGCAGCAGTAGTAGTAGTGCAACAGGAATACAGTAGCAGCAGCAGCAGTAGTAGTAGTGCAGTAGGAATACAGTAGCAGTGCAATAGGAATACAGTAGCAGCAGCAGCAGTAGTAGTAGTGCAACAGGAATACAGTAGCAGCAGCAGCAGTAGTAGTAGTGCAACAGGAATACAGTAGCAACAGCAGCAGTAGTAGTAGTGCAACAGGAATACAGTAGCAACAGCAGCAGTAGTAGTAGTGCAACAGGAATACAGTAGCAGTAGTAGTAGGAGTACAGTACAGTAGTAATATTGCTGGGGATAGCACGGTGTGCTAACATTCCCTCCCCTCCCCCCCCCCCCCCTTAAATCACCCATTACTCAACCCACAGTCTCGTACACCCCCCCCCCTTCCCCCACCCCTCATTAATTACCCACACTGCACTGGGCCATCACCTTCTCAATCACGTGTCTCATTCCAATCCAGCTCAGATTGTAAAAAGAGTATTGTAAATACAATATTATTAATGGTGTTCTCTTGGTGATGTAATGGTGCTTGGTGTTGGACGTAGTGCGTACGTGTTCGAGATGGGTGAGCACTAATGTGAATGTGGCATGTTGACTATGTGGGGCATTTTTACTGCTTAATTGATGAGTGGTGTATTTCATGGTAGTGTAGGTATGCCTCTGTTGATTACTGACGTTGGTCTTGATTCACCTAGTTGTGCTTGCGGGGGTTGAGCTCTGCCCTTTCGGCCCCTGCCTCTCAACTGTCAATTAATCAACTGTTACTACTTCTCACCCCCCCCCCCCCCCACACACACACACCAGTTAATTGACAGTTGAGAGGCGGGACCAAAGAGCCAGAGCTCAACCCTCGCAAACAGAACTAGGTGAGTACACACACCCACCCCACCCCCAAGGAAGCAGCCCATAACAGCTGTCTTACTCCCAGGTACCTATTTACTGCTAGATAACAGGGGTATCAGGTTGAAGAAACTCTGCAGATTGTTTCTCGCCGGCGCCGGGAATCAAACCCCGGACCAGAGGATTACATGTTCAGTGTGCTGTCCACTCAGCCACTGGCCCTGTATGTCTCACCTAGTTGTACTCACCTAGTTGTCCTCACCTAGTTGTGTTTACGGGGGTTGAGCTTTGGCTCTTTGGTCCTGCCTCTCAACCATCAATCAACTGATGTAGAGGTTCTTGAGCCTATTGGGCTCTATCATATCTACACTTGAAACTGTATGGAGTCAGCCTCCACCACATCACTTCCTAATGCATTCCATTTGTCAACCACTCTGACACTAAAAAAGTTCTTTCTAATATCTCTGTGGCTCATTTGGGCACTCAGTTTCCACCTGTGTCCCCTTGTCTGTCTGACCTTATGTGTTGGTCTGTTTGTGCGTCACTCAAGCCTGCTTTTGTTTGCTTTATAGCAAAGTCTACCGAAATATTAGTCCTCCCTGTATACAAAAATCCACTCTTCAACCCTATAATACAAAACACACCCACTCTCCATCCCTCTGTTGATGCTGCAACCTTTACCCTGCATGTCCCTGCCCCTCCCTCCCTCCCTCCCACCCACCCAGTACTCCCCTAGTTGTGCTTGCGGGAAGTGAGGCATGCAGGCATTGTGCTGCCTGCATGCCACACACCACCACCTCCATACCCTTCAAACAGCCCTGCTCCTCTGCCAGGTAAGTCCACTACGGGCTCATTATAGCCCGTGCTACTTGGAACTTTTTGTTCTGAGTAGCTGAATCTAAAACCACCACCACCACTTCCCTATATACCACTGCATGTCCTTCCTTTCTTTCCTGCATGCCACAGCTTGTTTTCCCTCCCTTTTTGTGCTACCGTTCACATGATGAGTATGGAGTGCACAGTCAACTACCCACCCCCTAGCGGCAACAATCAAAATAAGAAAAACTCTTGATGAGCCACCAGAGAATATCTGAGATAAAATCCTTGAACTCTTGGAATCCTGTGTGGGAAGAGAGATTAAGAAACTTTATACTCTGAAGAAGTGTGGTTAGGGGAGATGAGAGGTATACTGGGATTAAAGGCATTAACAAAGGGATAAAGACAGTATTATTACTATATTATCACGTTAGAATTTGTAACAATGGACTCAATAGGAGATATTTAGATTTGGAAGAGACAGAAAAACACAGGTTCGAAAATTGTTAGACGAGTGGAAGAAGCAGATATGAAATATAAATTTGACAAATACCCATCTACCTAGTACTAATTCTGGGGATCAAATGTCCCCGGTGCCCAGTATTTAACCAGGCCTCCTTGTTAGTAGCTCTCTGCACGGGAGACATCTCCCGTCACGCAGGGTGCAGCCGCACCTCCACAGATTTCCAGTATCATCTATTGATACTGGTAATGGCTCAAAAGGGCCACCATTTACGGGCTATTCGTGCCCGTGCCACGTTTTGGGTGGCTTAATCTTCATCAATCTTAGCTCTCTGGTCAATGACACACACACACAGCACCGCTCCTGTGCCAGGTAAGTCCACTACAGGCTCACCATAGCCCCTGCTACTTGCCCTGCTCCTGTGCCAGGTAAGTTACGGGCTCACCATAGCCCGTGCTGCTTGGAACTTGTTCCGTGTAACTGAATTTTTAACAATAATCATCTCTGGTCAACCAGGCTGTTGACCAGAAGCAATTGTGTGAAATAGGCCTGCCCCATGTAAACCAGTAGGCCTTCCGCAATGTTCACACGTACTTATATTTTTGTTCTTTCATGACAGTGTGTTGAAAAACTGTTAATTGATACAGTCCATCTATTTAGACTGGTCAGTAGAGTGACGGCCTAGCTGCTTGCAGGTCGATGTTCCATTCCCGATGTTCCAATTTCATTCTAACCGTGTTCAGTAGCTGAACACAGTTATTCTCTGATGCATTTCTGTTGATGGGCAATATGGCATTTTATTAATGGGACTTGTGGTTTGTTTCAGGAAGCTGTGCGAGAGTGCGAGCGGCGGGTGGTGACCCCAGACGATGCGGATGACTTGAGTCCCATGCCGACCCACATAGCCACCAGCAAGGCCGGACGAAGAGGGGCCATCTCGGCCGAGCCCCTCTCCGAGGACGATGCTACCTCTTATGTTAAGAAGGTATGCCACTATGTACTTTCTCTCGTACACTGCACACACATGCGCCAACACTGCACACACATGCACCAACACTGCACACACATGCGCCAACACTGCACACACATGCGCCAATACTGCACACACATGCGCCAACACTGCACACACATGCGCCAACACTGCACACACATGCGCCAACACTGCACACACATGCGCCAACACTGCACACACATGCGCCAACACTGCACACACATGCGCCAACACTGCACACACATGCGCCAACACTGCACACACATGCGCCAACACTGCACACGTGCCAACACTGCACATGCGCCAACATACATGTGCCAACACTGCACATGTGCCAACACTGCACATGTGCCAACACTGCACACATGCCAACACTGCACATGTGCCAACACTGCACATGTGCCAACACTAAGAGTGCCAACACTGCACACGCACATGCAGGAAGTAGCCTAGATGAAGAAGCATACACCAGAATTACAAGACACAGCTTCGTATCATCCTTTACAGATGACACAAAAATCAGCATGAAAATTACCTCTGTTAAAGACAATGAAAAACGTCAAGCAGATATTAATAGTTTTTACTGGGCAATGGAAAATAACATGTTTAATAGTGATAAATCCCAGGTACTCGGGAACGGTAAAAATGAGAACCTTTAACATAATACAGGGTACAAAACACAATCAAATCTGCCCATAGTAGGAAAGCAGCATGTAGAGGATTTGGGAATAATGATGTCCGATGACCTAACGTTGAGGGAGCATAACCAAACAAATATTGCGTCGGCCAGAAAAATGATAGGATAGATTATGAGAACTTTCAAATCCTGGGATCCCATCCCAATGGTTGTACTATACAAATCACTTGTACTGTCCCATCTTGAGTATTGCTCAGTACTCACTTCCCCCTTCAAAGCAGGAGAGATTGTTGAAATGGAGGGAATACAGAGGACATAGACGCGATAAAGCCCCTAGATTATTGGGATCGTCTCAAAGCTCTCCAAATGTACTCACTAGAAAGGAGACGGGAGAGATATCAAATATCTCTTGAGGAGATATAACAACTTGGGGAGTAGAATAACTCCCAGAACCCCATCACTAACTCATCATACCCCATGGTATGAAGTACAGTACTAATGAGGGACATCGCCGTTTCAAATACACCTTACCTGCACCGCCATACCATCCAAATTACAAAATATACACATTTGCATAACCTGTCAAAAATACATGTACTGGTACTGTAGTATGGTGTATTTAATAAATTTAATTTGAACATTGGAGGTATTGACTGGTACCGTGACAAGATAAACTGAGTTATCAAGCATTCCTTAGGCACAACGCTGTACCCACCAACTCAAAAACAAGGTATAGTATAAAGATATTAAATACAGAAGCATGCAAAATATGCATTAAATATATTCCTCTTTGAAGGATAAAACCCAGCTTAAAAACCATCGCCGACTAAGCACAAGAAGGAAGATCACAGAATCTTTCGAGTGATCGCATATCTCCACAAAGGTTAAAAGACCTTCATATGAAAACAACGGGAGATAGTCCAAACACTAGAGCACTAATACCAGAATGAAGTAGTACAAAAAGAACAGAAAGCCATTACAGAAATAGTAAAACAAACAAAATGTTTTCTTTGGTATGTTAGGAACAAATGTGAAACCTTTGCAAGTATAGAAGCCTTACTTACAAGAAGAGGTGTATGCATTGAAGACCATAAATAAATGAGCAAAATCATAAAAGAACAACTTGAATGTGTTTCATTGTGTCCATTGCATGGTTAAAGTAGAAGATACCATCTTCACGAACCCTGCCCACAGAGAATGGCAGGTGTCTGATATTACATTAAAACCCAGAGCCTTCGAAGAGTAGTAAGGAGATGGTATGCTCATGCACTCGGCTTCGTGGCCACATTCCTGGAATTCTTTGTGTACAAAGAAATGCCATATACAATTAGGAGAGGCACTTAGAATGATACAGAGCTAGGGACATGCGACATCCCATAGACTAAAACCTTAGGATATCGCCCCTTTTCACAAAGGAGGCATTAAAGCACTAAAAAAACTACAGACTTTACCTTGTGGTTACCTCGTGATGGTTTCGGGGCTTAGGAGGCCTGGTCGACGACCGGGCCGCGGGGACGCTAAGCCCCGGAAGCACCTCAAGGTAGGTAGCGTCCACGAGGCCCGGTCCTTGCCCAGGCATCCTCGTTGCTGGACATGTCAACCAGGCTGTTGGATGCGGCTGCTCACAGCTTGATGTATAAATCACAGCCTGGTTGATTAGGTATCCTTTGGAGGTGTTATCAATCACATGTGGAAGCGAGGTAACCAGCTGCACTTATGCCACACATCATTAAGTTTTTTTTAGAGCTGAGAAACCAACTTACTAGTTATATGGAAAATAATGTTAAACAATCCTGGTAAACACTGTTTTAGAGCAGGAATATAAATTCTTTCACAATTACTTTATCACTCTGGCCGAATTTATATGGGCATTAACAGTAAACCAAAATTCAGATATGGTATACACAGTTTACAAAACCTTTTGATAAATGTGACCATGGAATAATATCTCATAAAATACAAGCTAAGAGAATTACGGGTCAAGTAGGGAGATAGATTCTACATTTTTTAATGAACGGATGACACAGTGGGAGTAAATTAAACAACGGTCTTCACACCGTTACTCTTCCTCATGCTTATAGAAGACATTGCCAGAGATATAAGACACACTTCCCTCACACACGACAGACACAGACACACACGTACCTGGAGAGGGTTCTGGGAGGAGTTCTACTCCAGAGCCCGGACTGTAGCCAGGCTTGACTCTGGCCTCGGGCAATCACATATATCGACTGTGTCGACATAGGCAACACATATGCGACACACACACACGTGACACAGAGATAGGGAGGGTGATGTATCGTTTTTGTAATATTTATGCATGAACTGAGTTGGTAATTATAAAATATTTTTCAGGTGGTGCCTAAAGATTACAAAACAATGGCAGCCCTGCAGAAGGCAATTGGAAAAAATGTACTGTTTGCCCATTTGGATGAAAATGAGAGGTCGGATATCTTTGATGCCATGTTTCCCGTTAATGCCCTTCCTGGAGAAGTCATCATACAACAGGGGGATGAGGGTGACAATTTCTACATCATGGATCAAGGAGAAGTTGAGGTAAGATGATATCTTTTAAACTTTGAACTGAATATCTCAAATGCTCAAGTTTAGTACAGTGTGTTCAGATGAATACTGTACCTCTCATGCTAGGCATAATCATTTTTCATTAATAGAACATTAGCATGAATGATAATAATTAAGGTGTGCTATACTCTGTATCCATTTTTTTTCCATGAAAGATACTTATTTGTTTGATTCCTAGTGTTTAATTTGTATTTTTCTATATGAGTTAGGATTCATCCTCAAAATTCAAAGTGGTTACAAATTACATTCCAAGAGAAATTTGTATTAGGGAAGCCGATTAATCTTACCTTGTCCCTGGCTATTGGTAGTCCCCTTAGGAACAAAGGTGGTTTTCCTAATTAACATTTGTATTCTAAGAGCTTTTCATCTTGTGAGGATTTATTGTGAAGTAATGTTTACATGTGGTTTACTTGTGGCCAATTTGATGAGTTTTATTATTCCTGCAGCCCAGCCAGTAGCCAGGCTTCCATGGTGATAGCTTGATCGATCTGGCTATTGCTTGTGGTCACGTGTTCACATAGACATCATGGCTTGGTTGATTTGACAATTTCTTCAGAAGCCTGTCTGCATTTTTTTTTCCCCCAGCCATGTGTTTTGTAGCTGCTGTTGGAAAATTGAAGAGTACTGAACGTCTGATGTTTACAGTGTTCACCAATTGTGGTTATGGTACATGTTCTCTTTACTGGGTCTATTCTACACTTCCTACTGTATCTCGATTCACAGTTTTATTGTGCAGGTTATGGAAAAGTGACCTTTGAGTGTTTTTCTTGTGCAGTACCTGTACAGAATGTGAAATTGGATCCCTCTACTCTTATTTCATAGAATTCATTCTGAATGCTTTGTGTATGTCCCAGTTGTTTAGATATTTTATTGCATTCATGCAATCAGTAAATGATATCTGTTAAGTTATTAAAATTCTAGTTCGCATGTCTCGCTTACTTTAAAAGGGATGTTAGTAAGAGCAATATTCCAGGAGAGAGCAGCAGTGTTTTGAAGAGTAAAATTAATGGTCTGACAACACTTGTTTTGAAGTTTCTCATTATTTATAATTTTCTCCCTGCTGTTGCTTAAGTGATTTTGCTGTGATCAATGCTAATGTAAAGTGTAATGAAAGAAATACTAAGCATACCTTCTGACCCCTCTGGAATATTCAATACCCCCTTAGCTCTTCAGTGTAAAGGTGGGCCTTGTAGACACAGGTGTCGGTGAACTGGGTGGACAGGTGGAAGTCTTGGGTGACAGGAGCTGCCATTTCTTAATGCTCTGAAATACTAGACCCTGGGTTGCTGACTCTGGGCAAACTACTGCTTCCATGATTTCACATTTTCTTTCATGAAGATACATAGTTTGTTTTGCTGTGCTCATATTATCTGGCCAGTTTTACTTGGTTATGAGGTTATTCCATCCTCCTGATTCCTCTATAAGCACAACAGATACTGGTCCTGGTGTTTGGTAGACCTGCACAAGTGTAGAGCCTGGCAGTGCTGTGGATGTCTGTGGTACCAGTGCCAATGCAAAACCAATGCAACATGTTTGTTCAAAGTAATAGTTTAAATTATGTATCTCATATTTTTCTTGTCTTTTTTTATTAAATATTCGTATGTAATTCGACAGATTTTTGTGAATGGTGAACATGTGACTAGCATTGCTGATGGTGGAAGCTTTGGGGAATTGGCTCTCATATATGGCACACCAAGACAAGCAACAGTAAAGGCCAAGACAGATACCAAGCTCTGGGGTATAGATAGAGATTCTTACAGACGGATCCTCATGGGCTCTACTATAAGGAAACGGAAAATGTATGAAGAATTCCTATCTAAAGTATCAATCCTTGGTGAGTGTACCATTTTCTTCTTAATAGCTAATATAGAAAGTGAAAATTATTGTTAATTAACTGACTTGCAGCTTTCATTCCCCTCATTCTAGACAGGCTTAATTTATGTGTACTGTATTTTATCCTGTCCTCTCATCCTTTCCATATATCCTAGTCATTGCTAAATATTATTCTTGATGCACTATATGGTGTAATTTAACCTATCTAGGTCTCAAATTTTTGGGTTTCCTGTATATCTTTATAAAATATTTCATCCTCTTATAAATAGTTGTTTTTCCTAAAATACTAATAGAAAAACAAATTCTGCTACACATTAGTTGTTGTATTGTACGATGTGATTTTTAAAATTACCTATTTTACGAAGCTGCGTGGCGGGCAGCAGCTGAGAATGCAATTGGCATCCAGCCAAATACCTGTACAGTTTTTATAGGATCAGAATTTGCAGCAGATGAACCTACGGGTATTTTATGCCATCCTAAATACAGTGAAAGATGGGAAAATTTGTGAATGTTATTAGAAAAGTTATGGGTACTATGTACCATACAATGTTTATGGGTGATGGCCTTGGTGCTGCCTCAACCTTTTCCTCTGCCTGCCTCCTCCTTCCTTTCCTCTCTCTCTCTCTCCCTCCCTACCTCAGCCTGCCCCCTCTCTCCCTCCCTACCTCAGCCTGCCCCCTCTCTCCCTCCCTCCCTCAGCCTGACCTCTCCCTCCCTCCCTCCCTTCCTCCCTCAGCCTGACCTCTCCCTCCCTCCCTCCCTCCCTCAGCCTGACCTCTCCCTCCCTCCCTCCCTCCCTCAGCCTGACCTCTCCCTCCCTCCCTCCCTCCCTCAGCCTGCCCTTTCCCTCCCTCCCTCAGCCTGCCCTTTCCCTCCCTCCCTTAGCCTCCCCTCTCCCTCCCTCCCTTAGCCTCCCCTCTCCCTCCCTCCCTCCCTCCCTCCCTCAGGCTCCCTCCCTCCCTCGGCTGAGGAAGGGAGCACCTCCCTTCCTCAGCCTTCCTAATCCTCCCTCCTCCCTTCTTCTCCCTTCTCTTCTCTTCCCTTCCCCTCCCTTTCCCTGCCTGTCTGCCTCCTCCCTTCCACCTGCCTCTGCCTTCCTCCCTGTGCCTGCCTGCCACCTCCCTCTGCTTGCCTGCCTGCCCACCACCTCCCTCTGCTTGCCTGCATGCCTTCCTCCTCTCTCTCACCCTCTGCCTGTAGAGAGTAATATGGAGTGTAATATAGTGTGTAATATGGAGAGAGAGGCTGGATACAGGGGGTGATACCAGCAACACTTTAGTCAGCAGATATAGCTTCTCTGCACAAGGGTGGTAGTAAAGCTCTGGCAAAATATTATAGACCAGTTGCACTAACATCACACACAAAAATCTTTGAAAGAGTGATTAGGAAACAAGTTTCCAGTTTTATGGAAAATAATGAACTTCACAACCCAGGACAGCATGGATTTAGAGCAGGAAGATCCTGTCTGTCAGTTACTCAACCACTATGACAGAATCACAGAAGTCTTAGAGGAAAAGCAAAATGCAGATGTATATACAGACTTTGCAAAGGCTTTCGACAAATGTGATCATGGAGTGATAGCCCATAAAATGAGATCAATAGGAATAACTGGTGAAATGGGGCGTGGAATTTCAACTTTGTCAAACAGAATGCAGAGAGTGATGGTTAATCAAGTAAGATGAAGCCCAAGTGCAGTGAAAAACTCTGTACTCCAGAGCACAGTCCTGGCACCACTGCCATTTCTCATTTTTATCTCGAATATTGACAAGAATACAAGTCACAGCTTTGTGTCATCTTTTGCAGATGATACAAATATCAGCATGAAAATTGCCACTGTAGAAGACATTGAAAAACTACAAGCAGATATAAATAAAGTCTTCGATTGGGCAACTGCAAATAACATGATGTTTAATGGTGATAAGTTCCAGGTACAGTACTGAGGTATGATGGAAACAAAGAACTTAAACGAAACACAGGGTACAGGACACAATCAGACCTACTCACAGAAGGAAAGAGCAGGTAAAAGACCTGGTGCCAGATTTACGAAGTAGTTACACAAGCACTTGCAAACGTGTGCATCTTTCCTCAATCTTTGACAGCTTCTTTGATTACATTTATTAAACAATTTACAAGCATGAAAACTTCCAATCAACTGTTATTGTTATAAACAGCCTCCTGGTGCTTTGGAGCTCATTAGCTGTTTGATAATTGTAAACAAAGCCACCAAATATTGAGAAAAGATGTACAGGTTCGTAAGTGCTTGCATAACTGCTTTATGAATCCGGGTTCTGGGAATTATGATGTCTGACGACCTGACATTTATTGAACATAACCGAGCAAAACTAGTGGCTGCCAGGAAAATGATAAGATGGATTATGAGAACGGTCAAATCCAGAGACCCCTCAGCAATGCTAATACTATTTATATCACTAGTGCTGTCCCGTCTTGAGTATTGCTTGGTACTCACTTTCCCTTTCAGAGCAGGAGAGAGATCTCTGAATTAGAGAAAATACAGAGAATATATACGGCACACACAGAAACTATAAAGCATTTAAATTACTGGGACTGTCTCAAAGCTCTTAAAATGTACTCTCTGGAAAGGAGACAAGAAAGGTATCAATAATATATACATGGAAGATACTTGGAGGCCAGGCTCCAAATTTGCATAGTAGGATAACATACTGGAGCAAAAGGTATGGAAAGAAATGCAGAATAGAACCACTGAGAAGTAGAGGTACCATGAGCACAATCAGAGAGCACTGTCTGAACATCAGAGGTGCACAGCTGTTCAAGACCTTCCCAGCAAGCATTACAAAAATATTCCTGGAACAAAGGTAGATGTATTCAAGTAGCCTCTCTAAGCAACAGCCTGCTGGACCAAACTCTCACAAGTCAAGCCTGGCCTCGGGCCGGGCTTGGGGAGTAGAACAACTCCCAGAACCCCATCAACCAGGTATCAACCTCCCTCCCTCCCCCTCTCCCTGCCTGCCTCCCTCTGCCTCCCTGCTTGCTTCCCCCCCCTCTCTCCCTTCCTCCTCCTCCTCTCTCTGCCTGCCTCCTCCTCTCTCTGCCTGCCTCCTCCCTCTTTCCCTCTGCCTGCCTATTTCCTCCCTCTCTCCCTCTGCCTGCCTGCCCCCCTCCTCCCCCTCTCCTACCTGCCTGCCTCCTCCCTCTTATCTGCCTGTCTTCCTCCCTCCCTCCCTTTCCCCCCCCCTCCCTTCCCCATCCTTCTCTATTTTGTATTTACATAATCGACCCATCCACATAATTTAAGCATAAAGTACAAATAACTTGTAAATACACACACTTTTGAGTTTTGTATTCAAATATTGAGGAAAGTTCTGTGGAAAGAGGCATGGGTGGGAGGAATGGTTTGGAGGGAGGGAGGAGGGCTGGGTTCAGTAGCTGGCTGCAATAATGCAGTAATATTGCAAATTTCTGCAGTCTAAATAGTATTTGTCTGATTAGATTTCATCCCAAATAAAAACTCAACTGTGTTGTCGTATCCTAAATAATGTAATGTGGGAACATTCAATGTTTACTAACGTGAAAATTCCTAAATGTGATGGGAAAAGCTACGTGTGTATCTGTTGGTGGGTGGCCAGTGGCTGCTTGAAGCCTTCCTCCTCTGCCAACATACACACACACACTGCCCTGAATATATTCCTTGTTTATACAGTCACCATATTCATACTGTTTTATCAGAAACTATCATAAAGAAAATAAATATATGGTTCTGTAATGCCAGGAGGTATGGATAACACAGGAAATTTACATTATTATATTTGTGCATGCTGTATAACAAATAAAGGTGTGTGCTGGTGGCTATTCTGACAAGACCATAATGAAAATAACCGCTCCAGTATTCATAGTGCTTGCCTTGCCTGCCAGTCTCCCCTGCCGTGCCTTGCCAGTTTTCCCTGCCCTGCCTTGCCTTGCCCACCTCTCTCCTCCTGCCCTGCATCTCTCCCTTGGACTGCCGTGTCTGCCTCTTCTCCCCTGCCCTGCCTTGCCTTCCCTACCTAATCTTTATTATATAATTATAATGTACGTGTTAAATTGACTTTCCATTAAAAGAAAATTGCCAAAGAAAATTTTTAGAAATTGTTTTATTCAGCGTTCTCATTTAATTTGACATCCTGGGGCATGCAGTGATCTGGATTAAAGGGGTTATACTGTACAGTACTGTACAGTTAAAACTTAATTATGCCAGCCACTAGAATTAATAAAAAACAATGCATACAATACTTTGTGATGCCTTGTGGAGTGTTGCCATCCTCTGGTTTGTTTAATAATGGGAATAAATATTGCACAATCTAATCTAATTAACACTTCCTGAACAGTCTTCCATATGAATGCTAGAAAATGTAAGTTGGTTCATATCCTGCCTGAAATATCTTTACACTTGTGTCAGCTTTGCCATAATCTCGGGAAAGTATCCTTGTCATCTGTCCACATGATAAAATATCAAAACATTATATGGTAAAATCTTCCTTGCAACACCACAGTAAATTGTCTGCATATGAGAATCAATGTTTTTACTTTGTGGTATTGATTGTTAATTAATGGGGAGGAGGGGGGATTTGTTCCATCATTGCTCCCCATTTTGTGGTCCCTCTTCGCCTGGGGCCAGATTCATGAAGCAGTTATGCAAGCACTTATGAACCTGTACATCTTTTTTCAATCTTTGGCAGCTTTGTTTACAATTATTAAACAGTTAATGAGCTCTGAAGCACCAGGAGGCTGTTGATAACAATAACAACAGTTGAAAGGGAAGTTTTCATGCTTGTAAACTGTTTAATAAATGTAACCAAAACCGTCAAAGATTGAGGAAAGATGTACATGTTCGTAAGTACTTGCGTAACTGCTTTGTGAATCCGGCCCCTGGTTTTGGGGTTTTGTCTGTTCTTTCAGACTGCTTGGACCCTTTTTGGTTTCCTGTACAATTGTGTCCAGTTGCCAGCTTGTCAACCCCATTGTATCGTTGGGTTTTGTTCTGTGGATCTGTGGCCTTCTTTCTTCCTTTTGTTTTGAGATTTTTTGCTTGGGGTTTTCCCTGGAGTGTGTGTTACTTTTCAAGTCTTAACACTTCGACGCTCTGGGCACGCGTGCACCGCACTACCCCGGGTGGGTTTGGGCATTCCGTGGGAGTGTGTGGTAATTCTGAAAAGTGTATACTCTTTTCAACTTTGTCATCACAATTCTCGTCCTAGGTTTTTCAATTTGGTATCAATGTGTTCACAATAGAATTCTCTACAGGACTAAATGAATATAAACCCCAAAAGCCCGGCGAGAAAGTAAGAGCGTCTACCCGGGAGCGCGCAAGAGCACTCTCTCCACTTCACTCTCTTCACTTTGGCCATCTCAATTCCCATCCTAGGTCTTTCATTTTGGTATCATTGTGTTCGCAATAGAATTTCCTACAGGAGTATATGCAAATATAAAGTCCAAAAGCCTAGCATACCACCCACAGCAAACGGAGAAAGTGACAGTGCGTTACCCCCGTGATCGCTAATAAAGAGCAATAAAAATGGGTATACTCTTTTTCAACTTTATTACCTCAATTCTGGTTCTAGGTCTTTCATTTTGGTATCAATGTATTCACAATGAAATTCCCTACAGGAATATATGCATATAATGTCCAAAACAGCGGCGAGCACCTCCTGAAGCTACCGCCTGCCAATTACTGCCGAGGACTCAATGCTGGGTCCTCACTGAACCTCCCTCTATTAAACGGAGGACTCAATGCTGAGTTCTCGGCGAGCGAAAGTGTTTTAACACTTTTGCTCGGAACTTTGAGTGATTTTGAGTAATTCAAGTGAGTCAAATTGAGTAATTAAAATGAGTCCCTATTCTCAATCTCTGAATTTTATCCTTTACATGCAGATTACTTTTAATGAATTTATAGAAAAGGCTAAAATTCAGAGATTGAGAATGGGGAAAAGAATATTAGAAAATGATAAAGGAATGTGTAAAACACTAAAGGAACAGTTCCAAAATGTGTTTGTGTAAAATAAGTTCTGTTATACATATGTCTGCTACCCCTTTCTCAAAATTCCTTTCTGCCTTGCTCCTCACTGCTGTGTATTTGTTTGTTTCTTTTTTTTGTAGTACTTGTGTGTTTGAGGGTTAGTCCTCTTCCTATACTGTACCCAATTTCTTGTCTTCCTCTCTGTACCCACCCTTCATTGCTTTTCTTTCCCGTGGGGGATGGGATGTGAGTTTAGGTGGCACGTGAGTGAGGACGCTGGCCAGCTGGACCCACCCAGGTAGCCTGGGCCGCTGTCTGGTGGCGTGCACTTGTACTGGTGCACTGCTTCTTTACTATTGTCATACTACCGTTTACTTTTTTTTCTCTTGTTTCTATTTCAAATCAATATTCAAAGATTTTATCTAACACTGCATCTAAGTATTTAAAATGTTCTACTTTTTCTATTATCTCTCCCATTTTTATCATACTGCTCAAATCAATGTTCTGTCACTTCTCATTTTCTTCTCTCAAACACACTAACTTGTTTTTCTTATATTTCTTCAACTTTCTTCTCTTGCATACTTTGAAATTCATTCACACACTTTTTTGCAATTGATCTTGACTTTCAACAAAGACCACTGCATCATCTGCATACAGACAGACATGAATCCATTGCATGTAATGGATCCTAAATTATATCCATATATAAACTTGTCTAGTGAAGCATTATTATGAGATGGCAAAACTTAATGCATTCAAAAATATTTTTCTTCAGAATCACTGGACAAATGGGAGCGCTTAGTGGTGGCCGATGCACTTGAGCCCGTGTCGTTTGAGTCGGGCTCTACCGTTGTGAGGCAAGGAGAGGCCGGAGACGATTTCTACATCATTGTGGAGGGCACTGCAGTCGTCATGCAGGCTCGCACCCCAGCTGATGAACCTGTTGAAGTTGGCAGGCTTGGTACATCAGATTATTTTGGTAATTATTGCTAATTTTTTGTATTCTTGGTAAATTCACTGTAAATAACTGGAAGAAATTACTATGTTCAGTATTTACATACTATACAACTACTACTACTACAATAAATATAATTTTAATAATTTTGTAATTCAATTAGACAGGCGTAATGCATTACTATAACACTATGGTAGGCTTTAAAGATTTCCCTTCTGGACTATTATGAATAAATTTTTGATTTTGACATAAATTATAGAAAGATTTGCCAGTTATGAAAAACTCCTTTCTGACTAGCTCACTGATAACATCATCAGTGGTGCATTTGAATAGGTTTTTGCCTACGTTTCTCTATTTAAGACCAAGACATTTATTGCACTTGGTCTTAAAGCTGTGAATGGAGGTTGTATCCACCATCTCTGCCCCCAGTTTATTTCACTAAATTACGACCCACATGTCATGAGTAATTTTTTCACACGCCTCCGATTCATTTGCATTATGAACTTCTACTTGTTCACCCTCGCCGTATTTTTCTCTGGTAAATACCCAAGTGGAATTGCCCAATTGTAGTTACAGGTTGAGAGCTCTGCTCATAGTGTCCCGTCTTCCCAACACTGTGTCATATGACGCTTTAAAACTGCCGACAGTTTTGGCCTCCACCACCTCACTTCATGATTCTCTTTTTAAATGGGTTGAAAACATGACTGTGTTGCTCACTACAGAATTTGGGCATATGTGAATGTGTAATACATTCCATCCCTAGAAGCAAACTCTTTAACCCAACTCTGAAGTAAACAAACACTTGCAGTGACATGCAACACTTGTACATGAGCATTGTGTTGTGTGTGAGTGCGCATACGTCACTGCAAGTCATGTTTTCAAAGCATTTAAGTAGAGTATCATTATAAAAACTACTTTATATCTTGTTTGGTAATCAAATGTTTTATTAACCCCTAACATCCAGTTATTGTCATTTGTTGATCACCTGGGCCACTTCTGTCAGTCATTTAATGATTTTCATTATTATTGTCCAGTTTTTATACAATGGTATAAATGTGGTAATAATCATCTATTTGGGTTAATGTCTTACAATCAGGGGTCTTGGGTTTGATTGCCAGGTGAGACAGAAATGGTTAGGCATGTTTGTTTTCACCTAATGCCTCTGTTCCCTGGTAGTAAATAAGTTCCCAGAAGTTAGGCATCTGTTGAGGTTGCATCCTGGAGAAGGTGAGTAATTCAACCTTAAGAGGAAACCTTTATACAAGCCAAAAGTATATATACATACGGGCTTCGTGTCCCCAACAATGGGAATTATTATTATGAATTAACTTATAAATGTAGTTGCATTTTACTGAAACCCATACAAAATTTTGCTTCATTTTATAATTGTTTACCATGACATTAGATTATTGTGTACTAGGGCCCTATGATTGTTATTAAATTGGGAGCCGGTCGGCCGAGCGGACAGCACGCTGGACTTGTGATCCTGTGGTCCTGGGTTCGATCCCAGGCGCCGGCGAGAAACAATGGGCAGAGTTTCTTTCACCCTATGACCCTGTTACCTAGCAGTGAAATAGGTACCTGGGTGTTAGTCAGCTGTCACGGGCTACTTCCTGGGGGTGGAGGCCTGGTCGAGGACCGGGCCGCGGGGACACTAAAGCCCCGAAATCATCTCAAGATAACTTCAAGAAATGGTGGTTTGGTCTGTGCTACCATTGTTTCAATCCATTCCTGTGTACATAAGAGAGAGAGATTCAAGACAAACACTACATTGTGTAAACTAATAAGTGAAACAACAAACTTAAATTAAAAGCTCTCCAAAGTGGACAGTTTAGTCCCCTCCCCATGTTAATGGAGAAAGTGATCCCTCCACCTGGCTAATGTATCGCCATAAAAATAAACCATTTTTCGTCCATACCTTTATTGGTGAAGTGACACTTCTGGTAATTGTACATTGAGGGTTAAAAGTCGGCTACCTTAATTTGAGAATTTTTTTTCAGGTGAGATTGCCCTTTTGCTGGACCGCCCACGAGCTGCCACAGTTATGGCAGATGGGTCTCTGAAGTGCGTCAAATTAGATCGGGCCAGGTAAGCCTTTATTGCCTGCTTAGATGGCAAAGTTTACATATAACTCAACATACAGAATTAATGCTGTTTTGACAAAAAATATGGAATTGATGCTTGCTTGTATTATTTTCATTACTTAATAAACATTTGGTATAGAATTTGTTTACAATTGTGGTGAACTATCATCATCAAACTCTTGTGAGCTCTCTTATTTCTTTCTTATAATATTGTTTATCTCAATTTCTGACATTTTTCTTTCCTTTCCTTTGTTTCATTGTCATGGCTTTGTAGCTGCCTCTTCCTGTGATAAAGCCAAGGTTTTCAGTACTCTTATCCTTTTAACTGACAATTCTAGCCTTCCTGTTTTCCCTCGGATTAATCCCATGCCTTGCTGCTTTATCTCGCTTGCTTTATTTTTATTTACCTTGCTGCATTATTATATTTACCAGATGTGTGGTCAAACTCTAGTGCTCCTCCCTTCTAGCTATTGGGTATTTGGTGCATTATTCCTTTCAACTTCCTAGTGATCCTAATTCTTAGGATTCTGATATCTTGAATGTCAGTAGTACACAAGAATATATTAAATAAAAAATGATGTATGTCTTAAAATTATTGTAACATCTACAATAAACCTGAATAAATCAGGTGATGGTGACATTGGTCAGCTTGCCACCTGACAGCTATCAGTTCATGTGGCAAGAGTCCTTGGTGGTGCAGATTACTAGATTTGGTCTGGGTTAGGGTATTGGCTTTTGAGAATTGTTTTTGAGCGCCACTGAACCCAATGTGTAATAGTCAACAAAATAAAATCCGGTCCATCAACTGTGAAGAACTCATTCCCCCAGGGTACTGTACTTGCTCCAGTACTTTTTCTCATCCTCCTATCGGACACAGACAAGGACACAATCTATAGTACTGTATCATCCTTTGCAGATGACACTAGGATTTTCATGAGAGTAGACAACATAGAGGACACGGCAAACCTCCAATCAGATGTAAATCAGGTCTTTCTATGGGCTACAAAAAATATGGTGTTTATCGAAGATAAGTTCCAGCTTATGCGCTACGGAAAAAATGAAAATATAAAAACAGAAACCACGTACAAAACTCGATCAAATCATAACATAGAACGAAAAGGCAATGTAAAGTATTTGGGTGTACTCATGTCGGAAGACCTTACCTTCAAAGAACATAATAAAATAGCCGTCACAACTGCAAGAAAAATGACAGGTTGGATAACAAGAACCTTTCACACTAGAGATGCTATACCGATGATACTTTTCAAGACACTAACACTCTAGAGTGGAGTACTGCTGCACAATGACAGCCCCTTTCAAAGCTGGAGAAATTGCTGACCTGGAGAGCGTGCAGAGATCCTTTACTGCTAGAATCCACTCGGTAAAACATCTAAACTACTAGGACCGACTAAAGAGCCTAAATCTGTACTCTCATGAGCGCAGGCGGGAGAGATACATAATAATTTATACGTGGAAAATATTATAGGGGCTGGTCCCAAATCTGCACACAGAAATAACATCACATGAGATCAGGAGGCACGGCAGGATGTGCAGAATACCCTGCAGGTATGTGCAGGATGTGCAGAATATACTCTTCAAGAGAGAACTGGATAAGCATCTCCAAAGGATACCTGATCAACCAGGCTGTGATTCATACGTCAGGCTGCGAGCATCCGCGTCAAACAGCCTGGTTGACCAGTCCAGCAATGAGGAGGCCTTGGCGACAACCGGGCCGCGGGAACACTAAGCCCACTTAAAAGTACACTTAAAAGTAACTTCAAGGTAATACATATTCACAGTCCTGGACATATGAGAAAATTTGCCAATAGAGTTTGGAAAAATAGAGGGTGTGAATATTTCCATTAAAATGACTCTAAAAGTTTTTAAATATTTTTGTAGATAGGCACAAAATTAGAAGCAGATGGTGCCTTTGGAAAGTCACTGAAACAACATTGTATGGTCCATTTTCATGAATTTGTTATTCACCTGGAGTCAGAGTTGACCTATAAAAAGCTTCACAGTCCACTTCTTTTGCTAGATATTTACCATATGATAGGTTTAATATTAGATATCACTTAAACACATCACATAGATTGTGGGAAAGAGCATGGCTGAGGCTGAGGAGGAAATAGAGATAGCGAAAGGTCTTGACTATCTCCTATTGGAAGATATTGACTTGGAAGATATTACCTACCTATTGACTATTGGAAGATATTCAGTTGTGGCTCAAATGAGCATCATGTATTTTAGTCATTGCCTTTGCCCTTCAATTATTCAAGAACTGACTATTTTGAAATTGGTGATGTTTTTTCCTTCTCTACTAGAATTAAAATTGTGGAGAAACTTAATTCAATACCATTGTGTTTGAATGAAGGCGAGCAAAAGACCCAATACATGTGTAAGTGTAGTAAAAAAACTAATTTTTGGATGAAACCTACATCCTTTATCAAGGTGCTGTAAACAACGTTCTTAACAAAAAATTCCAAGTTCATGCGCTTATATATCTGGCAGAGCGCCTACGTGTCATCATTAGACGTCATTATGATTATGCTCCCCAAGGATTTCCCAAGGGGTGCTGAAACTTCTGATGAATGATCAAATACTCTTAAGTTTCAGTTAACTGTTGGCAGAGTATTGAGTATGCAGAGAGACATTTACTAGAAGGGGGTAATTATAGATTCTATAGACAGCAATGGGCAACAAATCTTTTAGTAAAGTAGATCTGATTAACTGTAGAATTATTCTTAATGAAGCTAAGTTAACTAATTTCATTAATTCTCATAAGCACAGACCTTGTGGTGTTCAAATTGGGGATAGTGTTCCTGCGACACTGCCCACAGTTCCCAGAAACCAGGATATTTGAGCAGTCATCAAAAATTTCAGCATTCCTTGGGGAATCCTTGGAAAGCAAGGATTCCCTAGAAGCCTGGTCAGAGACCTGGCCATGTGGCCTTTGATACCCGGAACCTCCACAAAGGTTTTTAATGAACTTGAACATGTATTGGGTCTTTTCTTCACCTTCGTCATTATTGTATATTTCCACTCTTCACCTTAACAGCCTATTTTCACAATGAACATGCACTTTGTATAAATTTACTTACAAATATGCAGTTTAACCTACAAAAACCTCTTTAATTTATATACAAAACAAAACATAATGAACTGGGGCAACCTTTGCTTTTTGTATCTCCTTTCCATTGTTCTGCTGACCTCTACCCCCTTCCCTCACGTGTGCACATTTCTAATGTTGAAAATATCATGTGCCACTCACCTGACTTGATTGTCAGGAATGTGATAGATTGTCATCTAGATAGAATATTTTATTTCATATTTGTGGGTTGGGTGTTTAATTTTCAGCCCCATTATTGTGACTTATTGTCTTCATAATATGCAGAGTATATGACAACAAAGCACTGTAAATAATGTATTATGAAAAATGTAGAATGCTTTTTTTTTTTTTCTTGCAGTATGTTTTTCTTGTAAAACGCTTCCTTTGTATTTTCAGGTTTGAACGTGTTCTTGGAAGCTGTGCAGATATTTTAAAGCGGAACATTGAGCAGTACAACTCCTTTATTGCACTAACAGTTTAGACCATAATTGAACCGCCATTGTAGCCCATATGTATGCATTCATTAGTTAATTGTGCGCAACTCAATAGGTTCACATGTAAACAACTGTAATATGCTCCTGTTTAGGTGCTGAAATGTGCTAACTTGTAGGGCCACAACACCAATACTGGAACTTGGTTATAAAGGTGTGGGGCAGTTATGTAGGGTTTTAGGTAGTCTTTTTGTGTGTACAGTTTGTCAACAGCTACAGCTGGTAAAGGGAGAGTGCCATCCATCACTAAATAGGGGTGGTATAATCCACCACCACATGTGAGGGATGATATAATCCATCACCACACATGAGGGATGATATAATCCACCACACACGAGGGATGGTATAATCCACCACAGGTGAGGGGTGGTATAATCCACCACATGTGAGGGGTGGTGTAATCCACCACAGGTGAGGGGTGGTGTAATCCATAACTGGTGGTGATAGGAATGGAATCGTTGAGAGCAGGCAGTGCTTGATGTTACCTGACATCACTGGTGAGGTTGTACCACCAGCCACTAGGCAGTGCTTGATGTTACCTGACATCACTGGTGAGGTTGTACCACCAGCCACTTGCAGGAAGGAGAGAACTGTCTATCAATAAAAAGATGGGCAAGTATCACCTGGTGGGGTGGGGGGGAGGGGAGGGGAATAAGGTACCATCTATCGCTGATGTGATGGCACTGTAATATACTGCTAGTATAAGGTTAGTACCACCTGCCACTAGTAAGAACAGCACACCACTTATGGGGTAAGAGTAGTATAATCCTGTTGTAATGATCATGGTTCTAGGGGCCATTTTGATATTTAAAGCTACATAATATTCTGATATTGCATGAAGAGTGCAGGATGATGACCAGCTTATTGTAGAAGTGAATTGATGCATTTATTGGGTTAATTTGCTTTAAACAGATGGGAGCAAACTTTAAACAATATTGAACAAGGTTATTCTTAATACGTATGTCTTGGCATTATGCACGACTTTAAAGATTAAACGATGTGGAACAATTAACATTCTTATTATAAAAAAGTTTTATTATTTTAATGACCCATTTCCACTTCCAATGATAAGCAAGTAAGGTAATCTTTACTTAGCCAAATATAGTCCAGTATATCAATTTGAATTCTCGGAGTAATGCAAAATTGGTCCTGCGCTTGCTACATATAGCATCTTTTAAAAACAATTGATTACTGTAGTCTCACATATGAAATTGTACATGCACTAAAAGATTTAATTTCATTAGCTGTCCTTTACATATAATTATTAATTGATCTGGTAGAGATCATTTTAAATCCTAATGTTTCATTTGTTTCTTTTGTGTTTGCTTAACTACAGTTAGTTAGGATTTCAACATGTACTGCATGTAAATATGTACTGCAAGTTAACATGTATTATTTGCCAACAAAATACTGTACTAAATTAAAAATGTATTTAGGGAACTAGTGAGAAGTTATTGGAGAAAATGTTTATTTGATGAACTGATATCCTAAATGGTGCCACAACTGCTTTCATTGTATGTATCGGAAAAAGTTATTAATATTCTGTAGAATATTTCAAAACTTGTTCCATTATGTATTGAACAACTACTGGAAATATTTAGGATTTCATCCTTTTAAGTTTATTAGTAATAAAATAATATATTTCAGTATTTTCTCCCGTGACTTTTACTACTACTATAACTTTTACTCTTATGACTTGAATTACTGTAGACATTTGAACAGTTTTGTCACTGGTCAGTTTTACCCTTGCAATGAAGATGTCTACATAACCTTGTGCATAACTTCATGTATTATTAATCAAAATTAAAAATAATGGTTTGTACTTGCATCGATATGATTTTGGAATAATTTCGTGCCCACATGCTCATACACCTTACATACGTATGTATACAGATGTACAGCCATCCACACTATTCATAATAAAAGTACAGTACGATAAATAGTGACACTCGTGTTCTTTAGATAGTTTTTCTAGAGAGAGGTGCTAATAATGTACTATATCATACTGTACATATGTGGTCTCTACATCCCGTGGAAAAAACTTACAAATACATATATATTTACATATTTACTCAATATATAATTTATAAATTCAGGGATAATCTGTTTTTATATCTCAATTTTTTTTTTTTTTAGGCTACTTCATTGTTCAAGGTTAGGCTATCAGTGTAAGTTTTGCCACATTTTGTGCTCTCATTGGCCTGTTACACATTGACATCACAGATCTGGCCTTTAGCTGTGTGTGTGTGTGTGTTAGTAGTGTTCAAATGTTGAAATTCAAAACAAAGATCACAGAATACACAATTAATCCAGGTGGTGAAGCCCAGAAATGTACAAACAGATCATGTACTTGAGATTAAGATAATCTACCCCAGAATGCACGCTAGGAACTTGACTTGGATTGTTCTATTCGTTAACCTCACAGTCTTGAGCTGTGTAAATGTTTTTATAAGAAGTAAGTTTTTTTTTTATCTCGTCTGTTCATGCATTTGTGTAATCAGCTTGATTGCTTTATTTAAAATATAGACAGTCAACTATTATTAAATAACAATGAACTCGATAGTGAATATATTATGCCAAAGGCTTATTGTAGATACAGTATGTTTGAATTACATAATCTTTTCTAGTTTTTAGTCTGGAGCAGTTTCTTATTTATGTAAATATATCAATATATATTTATGTATAAACATAATTGTATATTCATATATGATAGCATATATAGAATGAGGAAGTGCTCCACTTCTTTATGGATTCCAAGACAAATATTTGTTCAAATTCTAATATATAAAGCTTTCACTGTTATATAATGAGCCAGGCACGGCTAGCAGATAACAGACATTTGCATCAAATTTATGTTTATTTGTATCACTTAATCAGTCAAATTTGGTATTAAAGAATATATGATAAACTAAAATTTATAATAGAATGCTGTATTGCTTTTTTAGACCATGGTGAATACACGCAAAAATGATTAAATCATTTTAATAAAAGTAATATATATCGTGGTAGATTAATTTAAGGTTTATGGATGCAAGTTGAACTGTGTGCAGCAGTAAAGCTTGCAGTATGGTACTAAAAATTTCAAGCATTTGCCATTTTCATAATTTTTATGTCATAAATTTAATTTAGCAACTCTTTAACATTCAAAATTTAAAAAAAAAAAAAATTTTATTTCCAAAGTCTGAAGAAATTTTAACCATCTACATTGTATTGAATAAATCAGACTACATGATATTGTACTGTACTTGAACTACAGCAGGAACAAGTAGTGTGTGACTACATTTTGACACATTCAAAGTTCACTTACACAAAGCTGATACTTTTTCCTAACATTCAAGAACTGTCAGACTTGCTGGAAAGAAATTTAAAAGCATCTTACATTTATTTGGCATTTTTTAAATTACAAATTCTAATAGGAAATGTTAAAAACTCTAAACTTGATATTATTGGCTTGAATGACTGAGGATTTACACATTATTGTTTTAAGATAGTGAGATATTAAATGGGAATAATGGTTAAGAATTATTAGTTTGTGGAAGATATATTATTGTTAGTCATTATAAAATTTAACCGATTCTGTGCTACAGCTTTTTGAATCACTTAAGAGATAGTATTGTAGAGAGAATTATTACCCTGGCCTGACTACACCCTTCCTGCGTCCCCCTGCTGGGAAGGTGGACGTTTAGCATAGCAGCCTCTTGTGTCCTCACGCTGAGTAGAAGAGAGCGGAGTATAAGGGAAGAATTATTGCCAGTTTCGATACATATTATGAATGTGCTTGTTTTAAATATTTCTAAACTATTATGTGAATATTACCATAATCAAGATATATCTAAATCATTAAAAGTGAAAATATTATATTTAAGAAGAAAGTGTATAATGAAAAAATAGGAATATGCATGGAGATAATAACATTTATATAAATCAACAATGAAAGTAACTGTGATTCAGTATCTGCATAGGACATAGGACTGTATGAAAGGTACAGTGAGACGTGTGTACCTCCTTTATCTTTATAATGCTCTTTGCTGAAAGTGTCTATATTTTTAGCATGTATTCAAAGCTGCCTTACAATTTTGATGAACTTTCCTTAATGTATGTCTATGACTTGTTTTTATAATGTTACTTGTTGTAATTGTCTGTATATTTAGCCTGGATTCAGAGCCAATTGTTATTCAGGTATGTCATTCAGGAGGAAGTGTATTTTGATTTGCATTCCTAGATATATCTTTGTACTGTTCAAAATTGCCTTAAAATTGAAATTGAGCAATTTTCACAAGCACTGGCACACACTCTTCCCTCCCTCCCTCCCACTCCTCAGAAGCATACCCTCTATAGGCTTCCCTTCCTCCCAACTGCTCCTGGTGAGCAGTTGGGAGCTTCTGCGGCCAGTATGTGCACAACGTTTTTATGGTGAGGGCTGCTGACCTGTGCTTTTCCCGAGTGTGTGTACACGGATTAGCTCTTAAGCTATACTTCTTTCATGCATTTTAAACTTTGTGTTTTGGTTCTGTTGTGTTACTACTTGCTGTCAAAAATTGGCAAATTTTGTTAACAAAGGATGAGGCTGTCTTCACCTTAACCTAGTCCTATAATAGTATCTTGAGCTTGCAGTATGTCTGTTTATATAAGATATTAGGTCATGTCATTTTTTATTTATTTAAAGTAATGCTTTCCTATAAATTATCTAAATATAATGTTTTCTTATACCATTGTTATTGAAAACTTTGTACTTCATAGTACAAAATGATTGTGGGATATGATAGTTTATATTATATTTACTGTAACAATGGTAAACAAACAAGAAATGTGTTATATTTTGTGGTGGTGTGATAGGTGTGTCGGTGCACCTCCACTCCAAGTATGTATAATGACAGGATCACCAATCATAATTTACTTACACAGTGTATTCAGTGAAATGTCAGATTTGTATTAAAATGCCATTTCTAAAATACGTTGTGATCAGAATGTCGGTGTGTATCGGCATAAGGTAAAGAGGATTGTTTCCAGACATTGGTTGTATTAACATTTTAAATGCGACTTAAAAGTAATGCTGATGATTAGTACTAAATGTATTTCAGAAAACCACTGTAAAATCCTCTTTTATTAGCAATAGCATTATGCAGATACACACAGACAATAACTTTGTTATTAGGATAATTATCTTGAAATGAAATTTTATAAGGTGATGGGTTTGAGAATGTTTAATTTTTTTAGGGAAACTTTTGGATTTGGTTTTATTAAGCAGTTGGTAACAACTATAGGGTGTAATGATCCGAGACTAGTAACTATCTGTGAACGTAGACTTGTATAACAGTCAAAGGTCAGTCATGATGCAGCATTTGAATATTGTACATATGTCATATTAAGTTTTCCCAAGGTCTTCTTTTTTAATATAACACCAATATTTAACTAACAGTGCCAAACAAAGAACATTAACCCTTATAAAGCACCATAAATTATCACAAATATGTTAGAACGCAAATTAAAGTAAATAGGTTTTCTTCAAAGTAGGCTTGTCTTAATTTATGCTACCAAATAAAGTTTGAGGTATGAACATGTGTTTGTCTTCACAGAAGCTTTTACCTTCTCAATACTATTCTTTATAGGCAATATCAAAATTTTGTAGGGAACGGAACTTTTGCTGGGTACTAAATCATCTCAAATGAACTTACAGATAAAGTATCCATTCGAATATATCCTGCCGCTAGGGAAGTAATCTTGCCCCATCTCGCGTGAAGGTATTCCTTATTCCGACTTTTATCCTGTTATTCATTCTTCCATCCTTGCCCGTTGGCAGGGGTGTTGGTCCTCTGTAGTTAGTAACAAGCTGCGTACTCTCAAATGTAGTGTCCCTGTGGCCTTCCTCCTACCACCGTAACTGGCGGTGGGAAACAGCTTTGGCAAGGCTGCGGATTGGCCATACTCGCTTAGCCCACGGTCACTTAATGGAGTGCCACCCTGCTCCTTATTGTCCAAATTGCGTTGTCCCTCTTACAGTTGTGCATATCATTGTTGAATGTCCTGACTTCCGGGATGAGCGTGTCTTGCTTTCCGACCGTCCCTCGCGGTCACTTGTCCCTCGATAGAATTCTAGGCAAATCGGATACTTTTGATATTGTTCGCCTTGTGTGTTTTTGTTCTTGTATTGGCATTCTTGGTGATATTTAGCACCCTCTGATTATTTCGCACTTTGATGGTGCTACCATAGCCTTCCCGGTTTGGCGGCGCCTTTTGATAATTACAGTACCTTCGCATATATCCTGTCACTTCAATATTCAGATGTTTACCAATCCGATAAAATTCTACAGACCCCATGGAGGCCTCTCTTGGGACGGCAGGGGAGGTGAGGTGGGTGCTATGCTTATCCAGAGGGTAGCAGTATGGCCTTTGAAGCTCATTTGCCAAAGAGTAAGAGACAAAAGGCTGCCTACCTTAACCCTTAAATTGCGCATCGCATCATATGATGCTTTGGAGTTCTACGCAATTGGCTTATCCTGTTAGCCCCACTTAGACATCTGGTCGAGTAGGCATTATGGGGTTGGTATTCCTATCGGTCTCGGGGATATCATTCGTCTCCTCAATTGTTTTTTGGATATCCTGTTCTGGTTACCCCTGGGGTTTTTTGCTAGTGCCTCCCATGTGGGCCGTATGGTGGATGGGCGTGCTAGGCAGTGTGAAGTCCATTTCAGATGACTTTGACCCTCTTGTTCTCAGACTCGTGGGATGGACGACCAGGTTCCAGAGTCAGACCATGTTGGAAGATCTGGCTCCATGGCTCTGGCTGTGGTGGGCTCAGACCTGGTTTTGTTTCAGACTATCCCAACTGACTCTCCCTGTCCCCCTCTCATTTCTTAGCCGAGGGCCAAGCCCCCAATGGTGACCATTTCATCACCTGATGTGACAAATGTGTTCTCACACCCCCCCCCCCCTTCCTTTGTGGGTGTTCTAGTGCTGATACCACACTTGAATGAGTTTACTTTCTTCTACCTGTTCCAATATTTATTTGGCCCTGCTACGTGACCTAAATATTTTTATCTTTTGTCTCATGAACATAAGGCCCCACCCCCCCTTCTGATATGCAAATCCATAAGCACTCGGTTGATTTGTAGATTCCCAAGTTACTGTTAACCCCCACCCAGAGTAGCATTCGTGTGGTTGTGTTTCCTTCTCAGGAGACAGACGCCTGCTTGGCTACTTTGACCTTCATTGGCGAGACCCTGGTTTGGGTGTCCAAAAATACCTAGTTGAATGGCAGTCATTCTCTCTCACCCTGTTGCATCTGGGGATACAAACTCCAAAGACCTCCATGAGGATATTAAATATATCTATAAAATCAATTGGAGCAATGAAGTGACTTGAACCAGCAATCAAGGTACTTCCTGCCATGCACCATATCCTTGTACCATGACGTGGTGGAAGTTATAGGTTCTTTACTATCTTCAACAGAATTTTCATGGTTTCCTTGCAAATTTTCCAGAACTCCAATTTCTGATATCTCAATTTATATCTGCCTGCAGAAGCCGCTGCCTGGCACTTGCCCTGATCACTTCTGCAGTTATATCTATCTATTCTTCCCTCCAGCTTTTGCAAGGACTCGTAACACTTCTGCTCTCTAGTTTTGTAGAATGTCCAGATGGTCATGTGTCTTGCTTCCCAAATGTCCCTCGATAGAAGTCTTAATGAATCCAAAACCTTTGTTTTCACTTATTGGCATCCTAGGTGATATTTACCACCTTTTGAATATCCAACGACACTGATGGTGCTACATAGTCTTCCTGACTGTTACAAAAACGAGTCATCCAATTGCTATTCATAAACGTTCGTATATTCATCACTGCCACACATAATAAAAAAAATATACATTATATGCCACACACGTTATATATTGTTTTTGTAGCGGCTGTCTAGAGCTACACTTGGGAACATTTTTTATACCAAATATATAGTTATAACCCAGCAAATAACCAAGAAAATGTAAAATTATTGTAAATATTTTAAACATCGCCGAGTAGAACCCGCCAAGACCACTATGTTTACATTCAGGAATGTGGGGGAGGATCATAATTTATTATAAATACACTTTTGTACAGTATTTACATTTATTCTCTTGACTATTCACTTGCAAGCATTTTGACACCAAATTTATAGGTACTGTATAACCCAACAAATAACTTGGAAAACTTCAAAAAAATGTTTACAATTATTTTAAGCGCTGAGCAGCCTGGGAAGCTCGGAACATTTATGGTCGATAACATAGAGGCCGGACTGCCAATGTTAAAAATTCACTTCTTGAAAATAAATTATCTTCAGAATTCCACATAGGGGCACACTTTCTCCAATATCAATATACACCATTGTAACAATGCTGGTATTATTAAGCACAAGCTTCAAATCTGCAGTGAATATATTCAAACTCAAAGTTATCTAAAAACAATTATGCCCCTCAAAACAAATAAGCTATTATTAGGGATAATGTGAAACAATAGTGTAAGAGATTTAGATCGAAGTATAGGATACTGTAAAAAAGGAATACATTTTTTTAAATATTTTATATTATCTTAGATTATAAATGTCTTTATATAATTTTAGCCTACATTATTCACATACTACTGAGAGAGAGTATTTTGCCAGAGACAAACTGGTTTTCCAGCAATAAAAAAAAATGGAGGGTAAAGAATAAGGCCAAGCTACTCTTTGTGAGGGTCAAGAAAGAAAATCTACTTTTCAGCTCGAAAATTACTTCATTACAACCCTCCATTGAATCTAATGCCATATCCAGTATCCTCTCTTATTAACACATCTTACTCTTCACTGCAGCTTCAGCTTCTTTGTAATCTAAAGTCTCTCGGTCAAACCCACTATTACCTAGTCTACTCATATCCATCAAAACATTGCAGCCAATGTTCCAGTTCCTTCTAACATGTTTCTTTCCCTAGGTTACCAGCTCCAATATCATTGAAGACATTATGCAACACCTTTAATTTCTCTGAGCATGATCTTCAAGCTCTATGTAGAAACTACATAGCTAACAGTCTAATTCATTTCTTATGAAATATTCCACAGTCCACCTCTAAATACAGCATATAAATTTAGCAACAATTTTTTAAAACACTTTTCCAGCTGATATCCTCATTATGATAATCTAAGCCACACACCAAAAAAGGCACTTATGGACCACCAAACCTCATTTTTTTTTATAATACTTCTTCAGTGACATAAGAACCATCTACAGCTGTTTCATATTTCTCATGTCTTCAAATTTTCTTATAAGAAGAATCAAGTTGCTTTCCAGAATATAATGCACTCAGGCAGGATGTGAGAATGTCTACACATATCTTCAATATAAATACAAATTCTCTCTACTGTAAATTAATGAATCCTGATTATCAAGTACTAGTGGAGCTAGAATTTGCTTTTGTGAATACATGGAAAATATTAAGATAAATATAAGGTTCTCATTTTATTGTTTAAACCAATACCAACTGGATGCATTTTTCCCAGGACATTAAATAATGCAATTACAGTACTTATAATGTAATAAATCAAGTACTGTACAGTACAGCATCAGTAATGCAATTTAACAAAAGGCAATAATTTCAAATACTCAAAAACAATTACACAATATATTACACTATATAAACTCATCAATGTGGATTATATAGGATTATATAACCATCAATGATAAAGAAAATATAGCAAGTTAATTTCACATACAAATTGTTAATTAAAATTTCTTAACATTCAATTGAATGAAAACAAGTTTAATGAATGACAACTATATATTAATTTTGAAGGGCCTTTTAAAATGAAATTTTTTGTATGCACTAATCTTAACCTATGATCAGTGACTTTCACCCTTTTTCCCTGTTACACGTTTGAAGTCTGACATTTTTGTGGTTTGCACAGGAGACCCAATAATTTGAATGTACGAGATTTGAGTTGTGTCTGCATCAGTCTGGTTGTTCTTGACAAATAATGTCAAGTTCATCACATTCTGAAGCTTTACATACTTAAGAGGTATCAGCTCACCATCCAAATCCTTTGTAGATAGCCTAAAAAAAAAGAACAATTAAGAAAAATTTTAATTACAAGAAAAGCAAAGTAAAAGTCCAATTGCCTTTGGAAAGTTGAAGCACAACAGTTGTAACACCAGCTAAATGGCCAAATGTACATTGTAAGTTTCCTAACTCAGAGGCAATATATATTTCAACAAATCAAACAATGACGATAAAATTTCCATAACTTGAATTGTACCTGAATGGGGGTTCTAGGAGTTTTACTCCCCAAGCCCAGCCTGGGGCCAGGCTTGACTTGTGAGAGCCTGGTCCAACAGGCTGTTGCTTCAAGCATTCACTACAGTCCAGCTGAGCCAGAACTTCTTGCCAACGACTGTCCAGTTTTCTTCTTGAAATCTTGCGCTTTTGTTTTAGCATAAACAGTATATTATTTCTTATACTGTACTGTACGTTATAGGAGGATTCTGAACAACTGTCAGCCTTTTATGTTCATACAGTGTTCTCTGATTGTGCCTATGACACCTCCATTCTTCACTGGCTCTATTCTGCATATCTTTCCATATCGTTCACTCCAGTATGTTATTTTACTGTGCAAATTTGGGACCTGGCCCTCCAGTATTTTCCATCACATATAATGTGGTACATCTCTCTTCTCCTGTCTTGAGAATACTACATTTTGAGAGATTTGAGACAATTCTATTAATTTACATCAGGGGAGCCTGACGGCTGAGTGGACAGTACTCGGGATTCATAGTCTTTGATCTCTGGCAGAAACAAATGAGCAGTTTCTTTCAGCCTGATGCCTCTGTTCACCTAGCAATAAATAGGTACCTAGGAGTTAGACAGATGCTGTGGGCTGCTTCCCGGGGATGTGTGACAAAAAGGAGGCCTGGTTGAGGGCTGGTCGAGGACTGGGCTGCAGGGACGCTACGCCCTGAAATCATCTCAATATAGGTGCTCTATCATATCTATACATGCTGTGTGTGTTTTTATTCCCTCTTATTTCAGCAATCTCTCCTGCTCTTTAGGGGGAAGTGAGTATTGAGTAGTACTCAAGGCAAGACAGCACAGGTGATGTGAATAGTACGTGCATTGTAGTGGGACCCCTGGATTTGAAGGTTCTCGTAATGCATCCTCTCATTTTTCTAGCTACAGTATGGCTATGCTCCTAAAAGTTAAGTTATCAGACATCATTATTCCCAGATCCTTTACATGTTGCGTTCCTACTATGGGCAGATCTGATCATGTTCTGCACCCTATATATATTGTCTAAGGTCTTTTTTTTTACAATACCTGAGTACCTGTAATTTATCACTATTAACCATTGTTATTTTTTGCTGCTCAATCGAGAACTGAAACCTTTGCAGCCCTGAATAACCATCTCCTCAAAACTCCAGCCTTTTCTTATCAGCAGAGCTGCACCACCACCTCTTTCTCTTTCTCTCTTTCTCTCTTTCTCTCTCTCTCTCTCTCTCTCTCACTACACAGTAATCCTGTGGAAACATTGCGTTTGTTATAGTTTTCGTTAGCTTTGTTTCTGCGAGTGCTATTATGTCTGGGTTTTCTTCTAGCGCCCATTTTCCAAGTTCACTTGTTTTATTTGTAATTCCAATTATGTTAGTGTACCTTGCCTTGAAGCTCATGTTCTTCTGTTCATTCTCATGTCCCTTCTTGGTGAGCGTTCTGCTGATGGAGGAAGCTGTTCCATAGGTGTGAAGATTTGCGAGGTGGTTAACAGGGTCTCAGAAGATACTGGGGTATCTAGAAATATGTTCAAACCGCATACCCCTAAGAAAAAAGAGAAAGAGATGCAGATTGGAACGGGAACGTCGTTCCCTATATAGGCGAAGAAAACGAATCGCGGAACAACTTGAGAGTCGCACCCTATCTCAAGAACGGCGAAGAAGGTTAGGTAGAGAAATAGAAACAATTGAACTCAAGCTACAAGAATCATACAAAACCCAGGAGAGGCAAAGAGAGCAAAAGGCCATCAGTGAAATAGAGAGAAATCCGAAATATTTTTTCTCCTATGCAAAATCAAGATCAAAAACCACATCTAGTATCGGGCCCCTGCGAAAGGGAGATGGAACTTTCACAGATGACAACAAAGAAATGAGCGAGTTACTGAGGAAGCAGTACGACTCTGTTTTCAGTGAGCCATTAAATGCACTAAAGATTGATAACCCAAATGAATTTTTCATGGATATGATACCAACATCAAATCACATATCAGACGTCGCCCTATCCCCACTAGATTTTGAAGAAGCCATAAACAGTATGCCTATGCACTCTGCACCAGGCCCGGATTCTTGGAACTCCATATTCATCAAGAACTGTAAAAAACCACTATCGCAGGCCCTTCACATTCTGTGGAGACAAAGTCTAGATACTGGCGTTATCCCTGACATACTAAAAACAGCAGAGATAGCACCACTCCATAAAGGAGGAAATAAGGCAGAGGCAAAAAATTACAGACCGATAGCACTAACATCGCACATCATAAAAATTTTTGAGAGAGTGCTAAGAAGTAAGATCACAAAATACATGGAATCACAGCATCTCCATAACCCCGGACAACATGGTTTCAGAACAGGGCGCTCTTGCCTGTCGCAGTTGCTGGACCACTATGATATGGCATTAGATGCTATGGAAGACAAACAAAACGCTGATGTAATTTACACAGATTTCGCAAAAGCTTTTGATAAATGTGACCATGGTGTTATTGCACATAAAATGCGTTCAAAAGGAATTACCGGGAAAATAGGCAGATGGATCTACAATTTCCTGACTGACAGAACCCAATGTGTAATAGTCAACAAAATAAAATCCAGCCCATCAACCGTGAAGAGCTCAGTCCCCCAGGGTACTGTGCTTGCTCCAGTACTTTTTCTCATCCTCATATCGGACATAGACCAGAACACAACCTATAGCACTGTATCATCCTTTGCAGATGACACTAGGATTTTCATGAGAGTTGGCAACATAGAGGACACGGCAAACCTCCAATCAGATGTAGATCAGGTCTTTCTATGGGCTACAGAAAATAATATGGTATTCAACGAGGATAAGTTTCAGCTCATGCGCTACGGAAAAATTGAAAATATAAAAACAGAAACCACGTACAAAACGCAGGCAAATCATAACATAGAACGAAAAGGCAATGTAAAGGACCTGGGTGTACTCATGTCGGAAGACCTTACCTTTAAAGAACACAATAAAGTAGCCGTCACAACTGCAAGAAAAATGACAGGTTGGATAACAAGAACTTTTCACACTAGAGATGCTATACCGATGATGATACTTTTCAAAACGCTTGTGCTATCTAGAGTGGAGTACTGCTGCACAATGACAGCCCCTTTCAAAGCTGGAGAAATTGCTGACCTAGAGAGCGTGCAGAGATCCTTTACTGCTAGAATCCACTCAGTAAAACATCTAAATTACTGGGACCGACTAAAGAGCCTAAATCTGTACTCCCTTGAGCGCAGGCGGGAGAGATACATAATAATTTACACGTGGAAAATAATTGAGGGGCTGGTCCCAAACCTGCACACAGAAATAACACCACATGAGACCAGAAGACATGGCAGGATGTGCAGAATACCCCCGTTGAAAAGCAGAGGTGCAACAGGTACTCTGAGAGAGAACTCTATCAACATCAGAGGCCCGAGACTGTTCAACACGCTTCCACTACACATAAGGGGCATAACTGGCAAACCCCTCACAGTGTTCAAGAGAGAACTGGATAAGCACCTCCAAAGGATACCTGATCAACCAGGCTGTGACTCATACGTCAGGCTGCGAGCAGCCGCGTCTAACAGCCTGGTTGATCAGTCCAGCAACCAGGAGGCCTGGTCGACGACCGGGCCGCGGGGACACTAAGCCCCGGAAGCACCTCAAGGTAGCAAGGTAGGGGTGAGGTGGGGGGTCAAGGAAAGGGGGGACAGGGTGGGAATGGGATGAACGGGGAGGGAGGGTTGACTGAGCATTTGAATGGGAGCAGGGAGAGTTTCTATGAGGAGGAGGGTGGTGGTGGTGTTGCCCTCCCCTCTGGTGATGCTGGTTGTGGGTTCCCCCCCCCTCACCTCTGGGAATGTTGTGTTGGGGGCTGTGATTTCCTGGTTTTCTCCTCTCACCCTGCACTTCTTCCTCACTTTTGTTGCCATGGCTCTCTCCTACCTTGTCAAGTCCCTCTGGAGGAATACTTTTTTGTATTCTCCCACATATTGCAGTTGGCTCTTCCTTTCTAGAATATTCTCCTTCGTGGTCTTGTTTGCAAACACTATCTTTATCAGGCAGTCTCTGTCCTTGTTGTACCAGCCTAACCTGAAAACCTTCTCAATGCTTTGTTCAGCCCCTTTCATCTTTAACCCCATTAGTATTTCATTCACTGCCACTCTGTCCTTACCATTCCATTCTGTCGTACTGAAGCCTTCCTGTTCTATAATGCCCACTGTTCAGCAGCTGACTAGTGCACTTTGCTGCTTCCTGTGAGGTAGCTGCTTTCATGGCTACCCTCTTCACTGCAGACATTGCTTCTGAGCCCTTTCTCAGCATTTCTGCAAAGCTTGCATGTACAGTGGCAGCCCCTCCCAATGAAACCTTTCCATCTTCTCTTTGGATGATTATCTGATGATCAGCCTCAGATAATCATAATCTATCAGATAATCAGGGCTCTGTGAGGGTTTTTATCTCCTCCTTTGCTACTGTCAGTTCGCTTTGCAGGTTGCTTATTGTATTCTTCATTTCATGCATCTCCCTCCTTATTTCCTCCCAAAATTGGACAAACATTTCAATCACTTTGTCACTGACTTTTCCCTGTGCCCTTGGTGCATCTCCCTACCATGTTTGTCCCTTTTCCTACTATGTTGTGATAAGGTTAGCCAGGGGGGAGGGGAAAGGAGAGAAGAGAGAAAGAGGAAAGAGAGAGAGTGCGCGTGCACGAGAGTGAGAGCGAGAGAGAAGTACTTTCTTAGCTTGATCCACTCTTTAACAGGTCAAAACAAAAGCCATACTCACGTTAATTCCTGGACTGCATTGGCACTCTCGGCAGAATCAAAATCAATGGTATGTGGTTGATTGATGAACAGCCTTACAACCTTTGGCCCATTCTCAGCTGGTCCTTTAAATTTTATACTATGCAACTTCACCGCTTGATTGAATGACAGGTACAAAATTAACTGGAAGGAAAATACCCAATAGAGTTTTTGAGTTAACAGCACACTTTATAGGCTAAAATGTCACATCAAAATATCAATACAGTGCAGTATACAATTTAAATTGCATACAAAAATTTTTGAAGTTTGTTGAAATTATCCATTCAGTAATACACAATTTCCCCACATTCAGTGGGTGGAGAGGTATCAGCCTGGAGAAAAACGGGGAATAAATACAATGTGACCAACTATTTGGCTCATTTGGTACCTCCAATTGTCTGAATAACTGAAAATTCACATAATCAAACAAAGACAGATGAAATTTGATGACAATTCAAGTGTTAAAATAGGAATGTTATCTTGAGATGATTTTGGGGCTTTTTAGTGTCCACGCAGCCTTGTCCTCGACCAGGACTCCACCCCCAGGAAGCAGCCCACGACAGCTGACTAACACCCAGGTACCTATTTTACTGCTAGGTAACAGGGGCATAGGGTGAAAGAAACTCTGCCCATTGTTTCTCGCCGGCGCCCGGGATCGAACCCGGGACCACAGGGTCACAAAACCTAGCCTATCTTAACCTAACCTAAACTAGCATAACTAAGTCAATAATTTATGTTTTTAATATAATGATTATTAAAATAATCCAATTGGAAACAATTTTTTGAAAATACAAAAAATCACTTGGCCTAATAGGCAAATTGGGCCTTTTATAGTAGACCAAGAAGTGCATTCTGGCTACTTAGTTACTGTCAACTGTTATATCAGTTGATTGACAGTTGAGAGGCGGGACCAAAGAGCCAGAGCTCAACCCTCGCAAGCAAAACTAGGCGAGTACAACTAGACGAGCGCGCACACACCTGACGCTCAAATGATAACAGAAACCGTCCAAGTGGTGAGGCACCATTCCTTTCCCCGTCCCATCTCAAATCTTTATCCTAACCCCTTCCAAGTGCTATATAGTCGTAATTGCTCAGCGTTTTCTCCTAATAAGTCCTTCTTAGGCAAACCAACTTCCTCCTCTCTTACCATGGAGATTGCCAAATAATTATCCCAAAAAACATCTGCTAAACTCTTCTTGCATAATACTATAGAAAATGTAATTATTAAACTGACTTTTTTACAAAAACACACCTGCTCATCTGTATCCGATTCCAGGTAACCACCAGCTGAAGTCAATGCTTGAGTAAAAGGATGATCATCGCTTTCATTTAAACATTCACAACCAGCCTTATTAATCATTGGGATTAAATCAATCTGAAAAGGCAATAGAGAAATGTGATAAACAAAAATTATAGCAATATACCAAATATAATTATAAAGAAGTAGGCATATCTTAATCCAGAAATCGTAAGATAGCCAGATTTAAAATTGAAAAATGGTGTCATAATCAAATTGTTGAATGAATCATTGTAAAAGTATAAAGAGTATGGTTAATTTAATGGTTTGTCAAAGATACTGCAGTTATGTCAAAAAGTGCTTTATATACACTTGTATTTATGATATAAATAAAGCAACAATAATAAATGATGGAACCAGCATCGGTGTCTGTCAAGCTGAGTATATTTCATTAATAAACAAATCATATCATTGTCTTGCTTGGGGTTGGATATTTAACACTTTACTACAGCATTTCTCAACCTTTTTACCCTTTGGGACCCTTGAAATAATTTTGCTGTCTCAAGGAACCCACGCATAAAAATTATTACTGTATATAAATATTTATTAATTTAAAAAAATATATACAGAACAATACAACGTCGATTCAACGTACTATATGGGACCAACCCCAGTGCACTGGATTCGTTACAAGAGGTGACCTTCAGGAGACGTTTGTGTCAGTGTCTTTTTTGTCTTGTACACCATAAAAATGCATTATATTACATACTGTACCTATATATTACTACTCTACTAAAAAATACTGTATTACATTTGTTATTTACCTTATTGTTGGAGTTATGTCCATCTTTAAGTTTCGTGGGGTTGTGAACGCTGTACAGTAAATATGTACTGTAGTGTATTATGCCATTAGCACCGAGTTGATTAAGTAGTTCTACTGTATGTTCAGTAATAAAATACAGTTTATGAAAACTATTTTACACTAAAATTTCTGTACTGCAACCTTAATTTGAACACTAACACTATGTACTTAAATTTAACACTTATTCCAACTGTACACTCCACACACGATGTCCTTCGATGTTTGCATCAGCTTTACTGGTGCTCGCTGCTGCTGTGTTTGTTTCAGCTGCTTCTGAGCTGGTGCTGGTTGTTGTTGTACCAGTGCTGAGGTAAGGCTGTGCTCCGTGCTGGGGTACGGCTCTGCTTTATGCTGGGGTACGGCTGTGCTCGTGCTTGGGTATGGTTATCATGCTCGGTATGGCTGTGCTCGTGCTGGGGTACGGCTATGCTCGTGCTGGGGGTACGGCTGTGCTCGTGCTGGGTGATTTTCTGCTACTAGTTCTTGCAAAATATTGCTTCATTTTTTGGTATTATTATGGCACTATTAGTAAGCCCCGGAGACATTTTGTTGTATAACAATACAGCTGTAGTCAAAAAATGGTAAATTCCACGATTATTCTTCCACCGACGGATAAATACGTCGATCGCAGACAAAGCTAAGGACACTGGGTCCCTACCGTACGAACGCAGACTTGGTCTGCGTTCGTACACCTGCGTTCTTAAACAGCACCCTACAGTAGGCTGGTGTTTAAGCCAGATCCAGTAACACAAATCTCTCTCAAATATTGGATTTACATCAAATTATATATTTTTGGGTTATATTTAGTTTAACATTATTACGATAATAAGAGCTATAAAAAATACTTATTTTAGAATCGATTTATTAATTTTATTATTTCGAAGTCGGTCACTGAACGGTGGCGACGAAATCGAACAAAACACACATGGTGTTGTGTGCACACGGATTAGACCTGTCCACTCGCGCTGGATTTGTGCCGCCAATAGCATGAATAATTTCTCAAATAGCAGATATCTATTATATTACAGTATATTTTTGGTTTTATTTAATTTAGTTTAATTAGGATAATAAAGTTATTAAAACACCAGTTTTAGAAATGATTTATTAATCTGAAACGTTTAAAGTAATGGGTCACTGAACTATGACGACAGACGAAAGTGAGTGAAACCTCACTGTAAAGTGAGGTTTACTGTACAGTATCCTCTTATCTGTCCATCCTCACTCACCTAGTTTCATCATAGAAAATGTATATAAGAAGATTTCAACACATTAGCTAGCTATTCACGCTTCAGCCATTAAATTAATTTACAAAGATACGTGTGCCACAAATCAGTAAACAAAAATCATTGAAACTCAGTCGTTCACTTGTGTGGACCACTCTGGCTAGTGTTTGGTTAATATGCATCACTTGTTGTGTGGAGCATTCTGGCTGGTGTTTAGTTCATATCTTTCACTTGTTGTAGGGTCCACTTGTGTGATCCAACTTGTCTTATAAAGGAATTAAGTGTAATCTGTGATAGAATGAGAGTTTTCCACCACCATGAACTCTGTCCCAATATCGTAAGCTTGTGGACCACTTGTGTGGCCCACTTGTCATATGAGCGAATTATTAATTGTAATCTGTGATAGAATGGGAAAGTTTTCCACCAGTCTGTGAACTCTGTCTGGACATCATAAGCAAATTCGAACATACTCCGCTTCGGTGAACCGGGCGAGTAAATCCGGCCTGAAAAGTGTGCGAACTAGCCAGAGATTCATTGAATCGAGGTTGTACTGTACTGTATTTAATCACAAATAATTAATGGTATCTGTAAACACAAAATAAACATTAAACATTGTCAAAAAAGCATAAGATAAATCATGACAATATGAATAAATATATGGGTAAGGCAATGTTATTTTTGAAGACAATTTAGATGATTTGATTTGCTTCTCTAATGCACCTGTGCTTGTCTTTCAGTACACAAATGCTTCATTCAATGTCAATCTGTAGATAAACACATGAATTTCATTTTTAACCAAAAGGAGATAATTGCTGTCTTTGCTCTTGATACTGGGTGAACGAGTAAAAGCTTGCTCACACACTTAAATTTCAAACTGCAGCAATATATTTATTGCTTTCTTATGAATGGCAGGATAATCATCTTTAACAGAAATCGAAAACTTATCTAGGGACAAATCAGTGAATCTCATCTTGAGTGTACAATCAGATTCCAGGTCACACAGTTCATCCTCTTCTCTTAATTCAAGTTCTCAGGATCATCAGAAGATTCAGAGTATGGATCCCTCACTCACTCATACACTTGTGTTGAAAGGAAAGGAAAAATGTTGGAGTTTGATCAACAGTTCTTCCAGATGGGTTTCAATAACACTTGAAATTTGCCGATATCTTACTTCACCCTTTTACCCTTAATTTAGCCCCAGCAGTAGTTGAAACATTTTAAGATTTCCTTTTGCAACACGGTTTTTCCAAAGATTTAGTCTTCTTTTAAATACAAGAATCTTGTCACTCTAAGTCAATACATTTTCTCCAGGACTGTACAGTGACATGTTCAAATGATTCATGCGATGAAAAATGTCTGCCAGTAGGCTAGCTTTTATAACCATTCTTTATCGTCAGAGCTGGTGGCAAAATCTTGCTTACTGTTGTCTTGAAAGCACTCCTCCAATTCATCACTCGGCTCAAGCACCCTATTTAGAACTCTTCCTTTACTCAGCCACCGGATTTCAGCATGTAGCAAGAGATTTATGTGCTCTTTGTCCAGGTTTTCATACAGCTATTTAAACATTCTGGAGTGAACTGGGCTTTGTTCAATAAAGCTGACCATTTTTGTAGCATCAAACATTTTTCAATTGATCTCCAGGAGATTTTTTAATTGGCAGTTCTCCCTGAAGAAAGAAGTGTGTTGTGACAACAACGCCATTTTCTTACTTTACAAGAGAAACAAACCCTCTTATAGAGCCAACTATTGATGGGACACTATCAGTACAGATTTCTAATATCTTGCTGAGCTCTTGATGACCTCTCACAGAACCCTATGATTCCGGGGAGCCCCAGTTGAAAAATGCTAGTTTAGTTTAACAGACTGCCTACTCACGTGTCCTGGTACACCAGAGTCTTCAACTTCTTCACCCTCTCCATCACCATAATGTTGCCGGATTCTAGCCTCCAAAGTTTCTGGATCTGCTCCTTGTAAGCTATCAAGCTTGGTCTGAAAATGTAAATAAAGAAAGGCAAATAAATACATAAAAACACAGGTCTAGAAACAAGAATTTGTTATTCTATTAAATATTTTGAAATCTAGGGATGTAATAATACTACACCAGTAGCTTGTTACCCCTCAACTGCTCGGCTTCCAAATATGGCACCCCCCCCCCAGTGCGCAGGAAATAATTTTTTTATCACAGCACACCTTGACCACATCCCCACAGCCAAAGTAAGTGGAATTTGATATTTATTTTTACATAGACATGTTCAGGGAAGGAAATATATCATTTTACAAAGAAAAGAGAATCTTTTGGGAACACTTTATTTCATGCGCACAGGGGGAATTTCACAATAAACTCGGCACGAATGTTGGTTAAACAACATTTTTGTGTGTTCACATCTCTGCATTATAGGCTTGTGTCATCAACCATGAGTTAACATCTGAGGGTTAGTAAATTAGAAAAGAAAAAGTTGTAAATGATGCAATGATGACCAAACCACACATCAGAAAAGGGAGATTGGTCATATATTCAGCCACGTTTTTGTGACTCGTCATCTGCAAATGATGTAATTTGTATCTGTTCTGAGAAGTGTGATGGTAGTACAGTAGTTGGCAGTAATCCAAATTTATGTGTAGGCAGAAGTAAAGACGACCATTTAGCAGACAACATGATGTGCCTATTGAGCTGAACTGGTAAACATGCCATCAAGTATCTCAAACTGGTGCCATGTATCAACCGTCTTCTCCTATAATCAAAATTTTAGTAAACTCATTTTATGACCATCAATAAGTGTTACAAGTTTCAAGTCAGCACAAGATGCTGCTGCAATGCTGAAGACAGATGAACAAAGATGCTCTAATACAGCTCCTAAATGCATCAGATCTAGCACTATGCCTAGCCTCCAAGTCATTTATACCTAGCACACTAATTTCCTCTCAACATTACTGTTTTTATCACATTTCTTTTTAAAGTTGTGTATGTAATTGACTTCAGCATGCTCTTCCTTCAATGCATTCCACATGCCTTGTACCTGTACAAGGAACGAGAACTTCCTTACATCTCTTCAAATTCATTGCATGTCCAGCTTTCACCGATGTTCTCTCATCCTGTTACTTTTTAATTCAAATAAGTTTCCTTTATCTACTTTATCCATTCCCCCTAAAGATCTTGTACACAGTTATCATGTCCATTCTGTTTCTTCTCTCCTCTAACGTTGTGAGGGTGAGGTCTTTCAACATGTCCTCACAGTTGATGTCTTTCAATTCCAGTACTAATCTAGTTGCAAACTTCTTAGCTTTTGGAAGTTTCTGTATATGCTTTACAAGGTGTGGGTTTCATGCTTGGAGCTGCATACTCAAGTAATGGTTTCACATAGACAGTGTGTATGGACTTGAAAGCCTCCTTGCTTCCTTGTTTAGATTCTTAAATGATATTCTTGAATGCTAACTTCCCATATGCTGCTGATATTAACCTGTTCACGTAAGCTTCTGGTGTTAAGAGTTGGGATTATGTCTACTCCCAGGTTTTTTTTTTAACATTTATTTTAAATGCCTTCTTCTTATGGTATAGTTAAATACAGGCCTCCTATCTCACTTACCATTTTCATTACATTACACTGATTTGGCTTGAATTTCAGCAGCAATTTATTTACCCACTCCTGAAGTTCTTCAAAGTCTTCTTGCAGCATCCTACAGTCCTCTTCAGTTCTTAATCTCATCATTAACTTTGCTTTCCCTTTCTTGAATATTGGAACTACATTTTTACATATTTTCAGTTTGATAGCTCATAAAGCAACAATTACCTAATTCTAGTTGAAACAGCACAAGGGGGGAAAAAAACCGACCTTATTTCTATAGAAGATGAATGTAGGCGTAGCTGAAACACCCTGTGAAGATGCTGCAGCTGTACACTCTTTCACATCAATCTTCAGAAATACTGCATTTGGAAATCTTGCTGCCATTTCTTCAAATAAGGGCGCTATCCGCTGGCATGGCCCACATCTGGAAGAATAATACTCTCACTAATTGTGTCACAGCCTAAATACCCAGGAACCCTGCCCCTTTATTCCATAAAGCATGCTGGAATAGTGTTAATTCTGTGTATGTGTTTTGTCATCTTACTACTTGGCACTCTTTCAAAGATTTTCAAAATTATGACATAACATGTCATAATTTTGTCGTGTTTGCTCTACTACCTGCTTTGTGAATGGTGCGATCTCATCTGTTTTGTGCTCCCGGTGCCAGTCGTGCGGTGCTCCCCGGTGCCAGTCGTGCGGTGCCCACCCAACCCCCGGTGCCAGTCGTGTGGTGCCAGTCATGTGGTGCTCCCCTGTGCCAGTCATGAGGTGCTCCCCGGTGCCAGTCCAGTGGTGCTTCCCCGGTGCCAGTCGTGTGGTGCTCCCCGGTGCCAGTCGTGTGGTGCTCCCCGGTGCCAGTCGTGTGGTGCTCCCCGGTGCCAGTCGTGTGGTGCTCCCCTGTGCCAGTCGTGTGGTGCTCCCCTGTGCCAGTCGTGTGGTGCTCCCCTGTGCCAGTCGTGTGGTGCTCCCCTGTGCCAGTCGTGTGGTGCTCCCCTGTGCCAGTCGTGTGGTGCTCCCCTGTGCCAGTCGTGTGGTGCTCCCCTGTGCCAGTCGTGTGGTGCTCCCCTGTGCCAGTCGTGTGGTGCTCCCCTGTGCCAGTCGTGTGGTGCTCCCCTGTGCCAGTCGTGTGGTGCTCCCCTGTGCCAGTCGTGTGGTGCTCCCCTGTGCCAGTCGTGTGGTGCTCCCCTGTGCCAGTCGTGTGGTGCTCCCCTGTGCCAGTCGTGTGGTGCTCCCCTGTGCCAGTCGTGTGGTGCTCCCCTGTGCCAGTCGTGTGGTGCTCCCCTGTGCCAGTCGTGTGGTGCTCCCCTGTGCCAGTCGTGTGGTGCTCCCCTGTGCCAGTCGTGTGGTGCTCCCCTGTGCCAGTCGTGTGGTGCTCCCCTGTGCCAGTCGTGTGGTGCTCCCCTGTGCCAGTCGTGTGGTGCTCCCCTGTGCCAGTCGTGTGGTGCTCCCCTGTGCCAGTCGTGTGGTGCTCCCCTGTGCCAGTCGTGTGGTGCTCCCCTGTGCCAGTCGTGTGGTGCTCCCCTGTGCCAGTCGTGTGGTGCTCCCCTGTGCCAGTCGTGTGGTGCTCCCCTGTGCCAGTCGTGTGGTGCTCCCCTGTGCCAGTCGTGTGGTGCTCCCCTGTGCCAGTCGTGTGGTGCTCCCCTGTGCCAGTCGTGTGGTGCTCCCCTGTGCCAGTCGTGTGGTGCTCCCCTGTGCCAGTCGTGTGGTGCTCCCCTGTGCCAGTCGTGTGGTGCTCCCCTGTGCCAGTCGTGTGGTGCTCCCCTGTGCCAGTCGTGTGGTGCTCCCCTGTGCCAGTCGTGTGGTGCTCCCCTGTGCCAGTCGTGTGGTGCTCCCCTGTGCCAGTCGTGTGGTGCTCCCCTGTGCCAGTCGTGTGGTGCTCCCCTGTGCCAGTCGTGTGGTGCTCCCCTGTGCCAGTCGTGTGGTGCTCCCCTGTGCCAGTCGTGTGGTGCTCCCCTGTGCCAGTCGTGTGGTGCTCCCCTGTGCCAGTCGTGTGGTGCTCCCCTGTGTCAGTCGTGTGGTGCTCCCCCTGGTGCCAGTTACGGAACGGCAGCCTCGCAGGCACTCCCTTCAACAGTGTCAGGCTTAACATTCCAATCAACCCTGACACCATCATAATAATAATAATTGCAAGAAGGTACAGTGGTTAATGCGAGATTACGTAAGATTGGAATTTTGACATTCTTGCAAAGCCGTGGAGATAGTTACCCCCCCCCCACTTCGAGGGCCCCGGTGGTTCGTTCTCCACTCCCAGTTGAAAATTCCAGGTTCGAATTCCCACCTCCCCCACCCCCCCAGTGGGACAGAAATGGTTGAGCTAGTTTCCTATCACCTAATGCCCCTGTCCACCTAGCAGTAAACAGATACCCAGGAATTAGGCAGCTTGTTGAAGAGTTGCATCTTGGGAAGAGCTTGTAATTTGACCCTGAAGGGGGTGGGGGAGGAGGGATATAACCATAACATCTACTGTATATATAGGTATACTGGCTACATGTCCCCTCGACACAATGAATTACTGTCATTACTGAGTAGTGTTGTGTGGGCCTGCCGGGCCTCCCCAGCCCTACCTTGCCGAGGTGAAGTCCGCCACCACTAGTCTGCCGCCCGCCTGGCTTAGCTCAGGCTGAAACTGAGCGTCTTCAGTCAGTACTTTAAAATTGGTAGCCATTATTTCAAAAATTGAAGAGGAGTGAGGAGGCAGGCGGCCGCGGGTGGTGTCAGGGAGGCCGGGACGGGACGCGACACTTGGGCACCATCACCATAACGCCCACGCTGCCACACGCCATCACTCCCGCCATCTCTTGGTTGCACGCAGTACTACACCTCCCAGTCCTCTCATTTATTTATTTATTTATATATATATACAAGAAGGTACAGTGGGATTGTGAGGATACATAATTCCACTCATAGTTCCACTCACCTAGTTGTGCTTACGAAGGTTGAGGTTCGGCTCTTTGGTCCTGCCTCTCAGCTGTCAATCCACTGGTACTCACCTAGTGTTTGCGGGGGTTGAGCTCTGGCTCTTTGGTCCCGCCTCTCAACCGTCAATCAACTGGTGTACAGATTCCTGAGCCTACTGGGCTCTGTCATATCTACATTTAAAACTGTGTATGGAGTCAGCCTCCACCACATCACTTCCTAGTCCATTCCATTTACTAACTACTCTGACACTGAAAAAGTTCTTTCTAATGTCTCTGTGGCTCATTTGGGTACTCAGCTTCCACCTGTGTCCCCTTGTGCGTGTGCCACCTGTGTTAAATAATCCATCCTTGTCGTAAGTGTAATGGTGTACAGATTCATGAGCCTATTAGGCTCTATCATATCTACATTTGAAACTGTGTATGGAGTCTTCCTCCACCACATCACTGCCTAGTGTATTTCATTTATACGGGCAGCATAAAACCCCCACTAGACAGTGGGATATTGTAATTGCCAGAATTAGGCTGGGATATCGATATCTATGGCAGGTGGCTGCAGGTAATGAATCCTCCAATGGTGAACATTCCAACTGTAAACTATGTGAACAAGAGCTGGGATATACTCTCCAACAATTACAATGAGCTGGGACATATACCAACTCCAACAACAAAACTCTCAGTTTCCACCTGTGTCCCCTTGTGCGTGTACCACCCGTGTTAAATAATATGTCCTTGTAAACCTTGTCATTTCCCTTGAGAATTTTGTATGTAGTGATCATGTCTCCCCAAATCGTCTGTCTTCTAGCGACTTTAGGTGCAATTCCGCAGCTTTTCCTCGTAACTCATGGTAAATGGGTATGGGGTCCACTAGACCGCCCACAGAATGGGTATGAGCTGCACAATCAATTAAGTAAACTAAAAACCTAAAAGTTTTGTAAAAAAAAATGTTTTGTTTTAAATTTAGAGCTAATATATTTATAAATACTTGTTGGTTGTAATCACTTTATTTTTATAACTATAGGGGGTTACCCGGCGTTGCTCGGGTGTCACATCTTCAGTACACACTATCCTCATCACTGTAGCCATCTCTACTAAACAACCATCATCATTATATCCACCTACACTATACAGTGCACGACCATCAACACTGGAACAGTCTTTACTACATATATATACCATCTTCCTCACTGTGCCCATCTTCACTACAGTCAACCTACAATGTAACCATTTTCCCTACACACGACAATCCTCCTCTCTGCAACCATCTTAACTATGCACTGTCTTCATCTCTGCAATCATCTTCATAATTCACTTTCCCCTACCCTTCTCCACTTTCCCCTACCCTTCTCCACTTTTCCCTACCCTTATCCACTTTCCCCTACCCTTCTCCACTTTTCCCTACCCTTCTCCACTTTCCCCTATCCTTCTCCACTTTCCCTTACCCTTCACCGCCTTCCCTACCTTTCACCACCCTCCCCACTTTTCATCACCCTCCCTACCCTTCCCTTCATCAACGTCCATATCGTTCACCACCTTCCCTACCCTTCACCACATTCTATAATCTCCCCAGCTTTCCCTTCGCCACTGTAACCTGCTTCACTTGCCACTGTCTTCAATAAATAACCTCCACTAAAGAATCTATTTGGTGAGATTGGAAATTAGAATATTTTGTAATTTCATGCTAACGGGAGACATTTTAGACACGCCTGTGACCATCCATTAATGAAGATCAGTTACCCTGTAAAGTTTGGTGACACAATTGCCCCAAGCGTCTGATTTCCAACTTCTAACAGACAAACACTTTCTTTGATAGATATAGATAGATTAAATTTGTGTACCATACATGTGGCTTTCACTAAAGTAATCGCTCGGCGTATATATATTTAGTTGCCAAGTACGTATTAGCTTAGGAGACGATTAGTTGCCAGTCTTTGTTTAGTGTTGAATCTATTCTTCGAAACTAAAAGTTCCAGAATGTTTACATTAAAATGTCAAAATGAAACAAAAGAGCATCAAAAGTATAAACAACTTTATATATAACACATTATGTGAAGGTAAAAAGAGCACTGGGAGACTCAATTGCTTCAATTTCCGTGCATTTGCAAACTTATGAAAGATCCTCCTCATGCTTGTCATGGTATATGTCAGCATGCACTACAGCACATTTATTTAACATATTATCGTAATATATTTAATAAAAAAAAATATTTAGCAAACTCAAATGCACTATGAACAACTTGCAAGACTTATTATTATTTATATTCAATATTTACTATCTAATTTAGTAAATATATATAAATATATATATATATATATATATATATATATATATATATATATATATATATATATATATATATATATATATATATATATATAAAATGCTGAGAGGGGTACCACCTCTGGTGCAATTGTAGGGACCCATAGCCTCAGAGAAGAAAATGAAGAGTATTCAGAGAAGACCTTGTGGATTCTCACTGAACCCTTTAATATTTTCTTCTACTACCACCCTTATTCTTTTTGTATATATATATATATATATATATATATATATATATATATATATATATATATATATATATATATATATATATATATATATCGGATGACAAGGTTAGTTCTCACAGATTGTCATTCCTCTAGCTCCTCAGTTGACGGGCAGGAATTATGGATGTAGAGCGCGTTTCCTCTCTCTATTGCCATGCTGAGGCGCTAGAAGAGGGGAAGCTGGCAGTTCTAGGGTCTCTTGTTGTTTCATTTAGTTTAGAACCCAGATCCTTCCAAAACTATACATTGCGTGTTTAGTTATCAAACACTTTTTTTTTTAGCGTAATATGTAATTCTGAGATATAGAATTTGTTTTAATAAGCTTAGGTATACACAGCAATGTGCTGCTACCCTATTTTTATATACGTTTTCTTCTGTCCTCCATGGACAGGGTTAGAGATCTGTCAAACATAATTCAGTGATTTATTTAACAATCAACCACAGAAGGTGATTGTAGTGGTTGATTGTTCAATAAATCACTGAATTGTTACGGAAATCTCTTGCTTAGGCGAGGAGATCCTGCCTATTCCTTTACCGCCTATTCAACAACATATCTTCATACTCAAGTATAAGAAATTAACAACCATAATAGTGCTCAGAAGCCTGTGTGCAGACAAGACCCCGCCCCTCCCTCCACCATCAAGTATCCAAGACACCCGCACACCTGGGGTCAGCTCCACTCGCTGGTCAACCATCATAACCACTCGTTTGAGACTACCGGCTATAGTTACCTGCACATCAGCACCACCTACATCAGGTCTGGCCCGCATATATAGCCAGCTCACCACCGGCCAGACCTCACGGGGGACATCTCCCGTCACGCAGGGTGCAGTCGCACCTCCACAGATCTCCAGTATCAGCTCTTGATACTGGTAATGGCTCAAATGGGCCGCGACTTACGGGCTATTCATGCCCGTTGTACCTTTTGGGTGGCTTAATCTTCATCAATCGGCCAGACCTCATGGGCGACATCTCCGTCATGTAGGGTGCAGTCGCACCTCCACAGATCTCCAGTATCATCTATTGATACTGGTAATGGCTCAAAAGGGCCACCACTTACGGGCTATTCATGCCCGTGCCACTGTTTGAGTGGCTTAATCTTCATCAATCAATCGGTCAGACCTTTACGGACTATTCATGGCCGTGCCACCTCTTGTGTGTGACTTAATCTTTATCAATCGGCCAGACCTCAGTGATTCACACCTCGGAATACTCTTCGTGCTCAAAGCTGCAAGATCTACTCTCGCTCCCCTGGGTGTGGGTACACTCGAGCAGTTCTTGTATAAAGTATAATTTGCACCTTTTAATTTTGCTTTTAACGTAACTGTCACATGTTTATATTTCTTTTGAATTGTGTTTTGTGTTATTGCCAAGTAGAATATGGGAATTGTTTTTTTTTGTTATTCATTTTTGTTATATTAAATATTCAAGTTTTTCATTCTTTGGGAATTTATCCCGCAGCTCTCACACCGTAAAGAGGTCAAAAGCAGTTTTATTTACTTTGTTTTGCTTTTTTTATTTAATGTGATTGGCATTTCACCTGCCGGAACAGCCACTGCTCTATTCTCTCACTTTTACGCCACAATATGTATAACAGATATAGGTAAAAGGCTAGTTATATATAATTATAATCAGACCCTATGTGAAATTGAAATTGAAATAAGTTTATTGAGGTAAAATACACACAAAGGGATGAGGTAGCTCAAGCTATTCTCACCCCATTCAGTACAACGTGTTAATATATACATAGACACACATCACAAATAAACACATTACCAAACATTCTGAGAGGTAAACATATACATTTCCTCCCTCACAAGTAGTATGTTATCAGACGTACAACCCTATGTAATATTTTTATTTAGCATTTTTAATATTTCTTCTTCTTATACAATGACATTTCAGGGCTGATCTCATTGACACGTAAAATATTGAATCATTTGAAGCATATTGATCCAGACTATTTTTAATTATCAGGGGGAAAGCATCAAGTCATTTCGACTTTATAGCACTTGGAAGGGGTCAGGATAAGGATTTAGGATGGGACGGGGGGAATAAGAAATGGTGCCCAACCACTTGGACGGTCGGGGATTGAACGCCGACCGCCAGATTTCTTCTAATGGTTAGATGTAACACAAATAAGGACCAACAGCTTCAAGCTCAACAAGACATAATGCAGGACAAAACAGGAGATGCTTTATCTTCCAAAAGGTTATAAACCCATGGAACCGCTTACCCGCCGATGCCGCAACTGTAATCATCAGGACAAATGGGGACACCTTTGACAAGTTCTATTTCCTATTTCTATAGGTACTATTTCCTGTCCTCGCAGAGGTCACTAAAGAGATAAGTGTGTAAATTCAGGTAAAATATAACCCCCCATAAGTTAGTTTAGTTCATTTATCATACACCCCATACCCATCTTGTGGGCGGTAGTGGAAGGGTTACAAAGGCACAAAATGGGCTCAGGGACTGAACCCTACAATTCATTTAGCTTAGCAAGTTATAATCTTGATGAGCTAGTTACAAAATTCAGTATAAGTCGTCACATTAACAATAACCCCCCCATAACGGTCTTGCAGCCGGACTGTGCAGTGTCAGGTCAGCAATCCAAACGAATCCGGCATGTAACTATAGAAACGCATTGTAAATAAACAAAACTAAATATTTACTCCAACACAACTGGCCGGCTTGGACCAACACATGTGATTGTGAGTTGGTAGCTTCCTGAAAGCACCTCAAAGGAAGTCTATAGTAGTGTAGAGGACCCGTGTAGACTTGTGGGAGGCCTCTAGTACTACAGAGGACTTGTGGGAAGCCAAGAATCATTACTTTAGAGGACTCATTTGCCTGGCTTGGCGCCTTCTTTAAGATAAATGCTTGCCTAAGGTGACGTGTAAACTTGTGAAAAGCCTCTAGCACTGCAGAGGACTTGTGTTGACTTTGTGAGAAGCCTTTACTACTATATGTACCTGAATGTTGATTAGCCTTAAACATTGCTGTAGATATGTTAGACCAGTGAGAAGCCTTCTGCACTAATGATGACCTGTGTAAAAAGGCAAGATGCCTTTTCACACAGATCATCATCATTAGGTGTTCTGCACCACCTGTGACTGTCTGATGTACATTAATTTTTCCATGATTTGGTGTATGGTAATTTATAAAAAGAAAATTATAAACTTGTATTTTGATTGTTAAATTTAATAGTTACTATCTCGGTGTATTTGTTCTCTTCTGTTGTCAAGTAGATATATAGTCAGACTACAGAATAACACGGGTCGGCATGTAGAAATGGAACTCCTGGTTCAACCTCGATGGCGAGCAGTTGCACATTATATGTAATAAAAGGCATTCTGTGACTGATCTCAAGATTAGCTTCCATTTTTAGTCTATGAACTCCAAAAATGTCATGAACCCATGTCAAACACACCATGCTACCTTGCATATTAATATCAAACTTTAACCATCAGTGGTTTCCAAGAAATAAGTCAGTGAATATGGGTGTTTGATTTGCTAGTCTCTGGATGCCTGTGAAGTGATGAAAAAATGTCACCAAACAGTATGAAAACCAGAGTATTAACACTTAGTATTTATCATAATATTAGATCTTAATGCTTTGCAGTTCCTGAGAAATAATCTACCAAACATTGTGATACTCTGACACATCCGAGTACAGTACTAGTCACCACACCCATAAGGCTAAATCTCTAGGTTTGTTATTCTAGGAGTGTTACCTAATAGTAATAAAACAAAGTCAAATATAATATAACCCATAGTACGTATGGTTATATTGGCCAAATTCCCTTAAAATGGGTGATATGTTTTACCATGTGGAGAGCGGGGCCAGATTCATGAAGCAGTTACGTACGTATTTACGAACGTTTTCCTTCTTAGCATCTTCGTAGCGGCTACGCCGGTATTCAGGCAGGCATCTAAGTATGAAAATCTTCGTAAGTATGCTCCGTCACGCTAAGGACGCTCTCGACCACTCATAGCTTTACGTAAACTGGATATAACTCGGTTTTTCTCTACAACACAACACGGAGGATCGATTTTATTATAAACATACATTTTAGCTGGCGAGTCATCAAGGAGGAGTCCTTCGTGATGCATTCTCTTTTTGAAACTTGTAGTAAATATGTCTTTTATGATATTAGAACTAGTTTTATAATAGCAAGATATTATACCAGTAGTTATTAAGTAAATAAACACTGGTGAACATGAAATGTGAGAAGGTAATGATCCTGGGCTGGTGGGAGCATTTACTATCACTAAATGCCACTGTTGAATATGGATAAGCTCCGATATGCCAGTGTCGTGATTGGTTACAGCTGTAAGATGAAAAATGTTACCTTCTCTCTGATTGACCAAACGAAAAGCCCTAGTGACATCTAGCGAGTGACATCTTGAGTGAAGTTGCTAAAATCTTCGTAAGTATATCTTTCTGAATTGGACGTAGGAACGTTCTTAGACAATACTTAAGAACCTTCGTAGTACACTTACTTTCGAAGAAATACATGGAGCTTCGTGAATCTAGGTCCAGCTCTATAGTGTCCAGAAACTTGGTTTCACTTTTAAAATTCTGGATACTAGTTTATTTTAATAACCCAGTTGGTATTGCATATACAGCTTTCATTATAGTATCAGATTGTAGACCAACATATCCTCTTTCTATTCATATCAAATTATGCTGTAACCCTTATATAATGGAGAAGGGTGACTTTACCCTTCTTCGGTCTCTGACTTATCTCCAATCCCTTGGTTAGGCAAGGGTTCGTTATTCTGACTGTTCTAGAACTATGCCTTATTAGTGCTGCATGTTTTTCTGTATGATCAACTTTCCAAAAGAAGCAGAATAAATATCTTTTCTATTTTCAGTTGTTCATACAGAAAATTATCTGTTTCATGCATTATGATGCATTGTCCAATTAAAATGGCAAATATCATACATAAATACTGTATCTAACTCAACAGACTTGTCTTGTGGATAACAGATCAGTGGCAGGCTTTACAAGAATGTAAAACATCAATGTTATGTACTCTCATGAACCCAATGTACCTTCTTGTATATAAATAAATAAACAAATGACTGAATAAATAAATTAAAAGAAAGTAATAAATAAGTTGCATATTAATAATATATTACTTTTTATTACAGTAGAAAAAATGCCAATAAAGTGTAATACCGGTTGCCAGAGGAATGCTGTATTAAAGGTAAGGGCGTCAAGTTACTCTCACTACCCACCGTGTTGCATAATTGTGTATCTATATTTCTTTAGTAATTGGCCAGCAGTATTTTCAGACTTGATTGTAGTCACCTTTGTCGACTGCATTGAGCCGAGACAAAATAAGGCATGTCATGAATCTTTTATTTTTTATGTGTTCTATTATTTTTTATAATTAAATCAAGTTATCAACATCTTTAGTAAATTAATTACAATAAATATTAAACTTAATGACTTTCTCTTATATCTGACAGCAACAACAGAAACAGCACAATCTTGTTAGTAAAAATGTATTTAGCCAGATTCTTAATTCATTTTCATGATGAGATTTTAAAGCAACGGTCTCGCTTCTTTTAGGTCGGTGTTCAATCCCCGATCGTCGAAGTGGTTGGGCACCATTCCATCCCTCCCTCCCTATCCCAAATCTTTATCCTCATTCCTTCGAAGTGCCATATAGTCATAATGGCTTTGCACTTTCTCCTGATACTTACCTTGTATCAAAAGAATTGATTTACCAATCAGGGATATCATAATACTCCAATGTGTGATTCAATTTATTTTCATAGACTACATCTGAAAATTCATTAATATATGCTAAACATGGTGCAAAGGCTCCCTTCTCAGTTGCTTGAGAGCTACAGTACTTTTACATTTCTTATTCCATAGTGTAGACTGCAGAGGATTGACACAACGGAATGCAGCAAAAACCTATAAGGGCAGTTGCTAACTTACAGAGTCAGTCACTGTATTTACTTTTTTATTGGCCATAAACAGATGGTTGTCATGCAGCAGGTGAAGTTAATGTTCGAACAGAGGTAGCACCGCAAATGATATGTCCGTTGAGGAATTTCAAAATAAAATATCAATATTTTTTCATTTAAACCTTTACCTGCAGTAATATTGTACTAACATATTTTAAACATAAGAGGATCTTACAAACATTGTTAAAAGAAACTTAATTTAATCGCACTGTAAGCAAATTCAACCTTAGCTACAGGGTGGTGCCCATCTAAAGCCATCCCCTCTCATCCATGTACCTATCAAGCTTATTTTTAATGCTAGCTATACCATTTGCCTCTATGTTGGCCAGAAACCTATTCCTCTCTTCTAACACCCTGTTAACAAACCAATACTTTGCCTACCACCCGGTTACCAAACCAATACTTTACCTACCACCCTGTTACCAAACCAATACTGTGCCATATCTTTCCTAAATCTGATCTTCTCCACCTTATAGATATTGTTAGAGGTTCTGACCAGGAATTGTAGGCCAAACTTCTTAGTATGGAAGGTTCTGAATACCAGGAATCAGTCTGGTTATCCTAAATCAAGCATTCTATTCACTTCATTATGCATGTTGACACACTGCTGCCCAGGTCTCATGTCACTGCCAATTATGACCTCTAAGTCTTTTACAACATGATTTGCCCAAATCTGCATCATACACCCAGTAGATGGGGTTACTATCATTATCAAGTTTTGGACTGCACTTATCAATGTTGAACTTCTGCCACTTTTCTGCTCAGTTTTGCAATGTGATAAAGTCTTTCTGGAGACCCACAGAATATTTTAGTTTAGTTTACTTTTCACCCAACATTTGCTTTATCTGCAAATTTACTAACATTACAGTACTGTTCATCCCAAAATCTAGGTTATTGACATATATAATGAACAAAAAAGGCCCCCAATACCGACTCCTAGGGCACAAGACTAGTGACATTTCTCCACTCTGACTACACCCTGGTGATGCTAACTCTATGCTTATTATTCTTTAACCAGGCTCTTATCCATTTATGAACTCCTTCCAATCCTGCAGGTCTCAGCCATCCTGATTAACCTTTCATAGGGTACAGTGTTAAAGACCTTACTAAGGTCAAGATAGACAACTTTTGGTGTCTAATCTACACCAAAGGTTGTGTGGTTACTATAAAATATAACAGGTGGCCTCATTTATGTTAAGAAATAATTGGAGGGTCACCAAACTAATTTAGAATAGTCCCACTGTTGATGATACTGTGGAAGGCATTTTTATTCACAGCCAACAACATGCAGTGAAAGTAGGGTGGTGGTGCTGGGCCACATTGCAAAATTACTTTACACATATTATTAAGATATTTAGATAAAATTATATCTAGTATCTTGCATTTTTTTATCCATTAGATATTATAGACTTACTAATATTACAATAGGTAAAAGGATATTTAAACAACTGACACTCATTTTAGGTAAAAAATGGGTTGCACTACTTGTCTACTTCTACAGTAGCTGATTCTTTCGGGTATTTACATAGTTTCACCAGTGTCATGTTGTTTGTGTACAACCCATGCTGAAGACTATCCTAATCTTGCATGTCTATTCCCTTGAGGATTTGTGTGTGGTGGTGTGGTTTTAACTTATTCTTCTCTTTTCAAGCGATTTGAGGTTTAATGCCTTTAATATTTTGTGTTTAAAAAGATAGACTCCAAGCTGGTACTCTATACTCCAGAAATTTTTCTGATATACTGTATACAAGGTTCTGAATATATCCATATTCAGATATTTAAAGGCAGTTATTATTTTGGCAAACATTGCATTCATGGCTGATAATACCCATTTTATGAGGGTTTCTTTGCATTTGATCGAGTTAAATATTAATCGATGGAAAATAGTTTGATTCCTGATACAGTAGTAAAAAAAATAAAAATTCAATCTGCTCACCTTTCTCTGTCACCTTGTTATAGAATTCTATTAAGTACGTGATGCAAGATTTGCTACGCATAAACCCATGCTTAGGTTGCATTATAAAGGCTTTTCTCTCTCTCCAGATGTTCTACTAGATAAAGTCATAAAGTTAATGTTTGATTGTGTAATCTTTAGAAACATATAAAACTACATCACATGTGTCTGCCACTGTTCTGTACCACTGTTCCACTTGTGTTGCAGTGTTCATGCCACTGTGCCACTGTTCACTGCCCATTTGCCACCTGGCAAATGTGGAATATAAAAGTAGTTTATATATCTTATATAGGTACTTTTATTTTGGCAGCGACCTAAAACAGGAGATGCTCTTTGTAAAGAATGCTTCTTCTGGGCCTTCGAAGAAGAGGTGCATCATACTGTCATTGCAGCAAATCTCTTCACCCCAGGCGACTATGTTGCCATTGCAGCCTCAGGTAAAATTAATAAAGATATTTTGTGTACGGATTTTTGTTTAGATTTTAATTCCCAAATGCCGAGTTTTTGCCTCAGAAAAAATGAACAAACCATTAAAAAACCTAAACTCAAACAAGTTCCCTGGGCCTGAGAAGTATTTTCCAGGTCTTGAAAGATTGCAAGGAAGAGCTAAAAGAACCCTTGTGAAGTACACCATATTCAATAAATCATTCAAGTTGGGAACTGTTCCAGAGTTGTGTAGAGTTGTAAATTTAGTCTGAATTTTTAAGAAAGGTACAATAGATCACTGGCATCTAATTACCATTCTGATAGTTTAACATCAATTGTGAGAAATTAATTAGCGATAATTGCAAATGTCATTTGCTCTCTTAAAAGATATAGACTAATGACTTAACAACAAGGCTTACAAAAGCATCACTGTTCAACAAATTTTCTTGTTATTTCCAACGTGTCTGAAGTAGCCTGGTAAATATTATTATACTATACTGTACTGTATTATATAATAATAATTATAATTCATTGTGTCGGGAGACAGGAAGCCAGATTATATATACAGTACTTGTTAGGCTTTTATCGAGGGCCCCTTCCCCAGGGTCAAATTACTGACCCTGCCCAGGCTGCCACCCCACAACAAGCTTAATTAACTAACTCATGGGTATCTATTTACTGCTAGGTGGACAGGGGCATGAGGTAAAAGGAAACGCGCCCACCCATTTCTGTGCCGGCGGGATTTGAACCCGGAATTCTCTATTGTGAGTCGAGAATGAACCCAACTGTATTACAGGACCCTCAACCAGTAGTTGAGGGTCCTTGACCCTTTCGTATGTATAAATCTAAATACAGGGGTAATACTTTTATTATTGTCCCACACAAAATGTTAATAACAAAAGTAGAGATGCATGGTACTAAAGGGAACTTTTTAAACTAGATCAGGGCATGCATATTGTGCAGGAAACACACGGTCACCATAAATGGAGTAAAGTTAGAATATGGGAGAGTTGCAGGTGAAATACTCTAGGGCTCTGGTCTGGAATCTTTATTGCTCACTATACAGTATACATAAATTATTTAGATACTGGAGTGACTAGCAACAGAAGTAATTCTGCAGAGGATGCTAAATTAGGGTGGATAATAAATTAAAGCAAAGACAAACATTAGAAGAGAAATTCAACAGCCCTCTAAATGGATTGTAAATTGTTAGATGCAGCTCAGTGCTAATGAATGTAGGGTTCTGAGTCTTGGAAACAAAAAATCAAAAGAGATGTACCACATGTCATCAAAACAATAGTGAAATTGTAAAATTAAATTGAGAAAGGGATCTGGGAGTCTTGATTAATATGGATCTGTAGCCAATAAGATAATGTATAAATTTTTGAAATACAGTAAATATTTGAAATAAGGGTAATAATATTACGAGGATTCACATCCCGAAGCATTAGCAATATATAATGTTTGGATAATTGTGTAGAAAGTAACTACTGTATAGTGTACATTGATTTTATTTAATTAGCACAGTGGAGATGTAGAGGGTGTATTGTTTAGGGATTGATGCAAGAGAAAGATTTTTAATGTTCTTTTAAATATTCATATATGAATTTTTTGTTTTATTACAGGGGGAAAGGACTCTACAGTGTTGGCATATACTATGAAGCTATTAAATGATCGATATCATTATGGCCTAAAGTTAGTATTGCTCTCTGTGGATGAAGGAATCACAGGTAAGTGATAATTAATCTCTTAATGCTATTTTGTTAACAGATGTAGATTTTGATGTACAGGTCCTTCTTTAAAAATGCCTTTAACCAAAATAGTGTATCTGTAAACACTTGTCTATGGTCAACTATGCATATCTAGTAAAATCTTTTGTTGAGTTCATTGCAACATTACAGTATTTGTGATTAATTACCATACCTATACAGTACTTATGAAAAGAAAGGAACGTGGCAATATTTTGGTCCGTCCTGGACTCAAGCTGTGTTCTGATAAGGATCCAAGATGGAGAAAACATGTCGCATGCATTTCTTTCACATGTGTGAGTTGGGTTATTAATTTTCAGCTACATTATTGTGACTTATTGTCTGCATATTTGTGATTAGTTCCTGTTTTTTTCTGAACATAAATCACGTCCTTGGGCAAGATCCTGCGGTCAGTTTGACCTTCATCATCCCTGATGCAGTGAGATCTTTTCAAACTGCCCTGTCTGGGCCATATATGATGGAAAGGAAACACTGAAGAATTCTCAATTCAGCCCTAAATGACATACTGTACATTGTACCTTGTGTATGCAGGTTATCGGGATGATAGCTTGGAGACAGTGAAGCGTAATGAACAACAGTATGAAATCCCTCTCAAGATTGTATCATACGAAGAATTATATGGATGGACAATGGACCGCATTGTGCAACAGGTAGGACATTTATTATTGATTTTCGTTTTTTTATGATGTTGAATTAATAACATTAGCCTGTTTTTTTGAGAGGACCCCCCTTCCCTCTGTAGCTCTTTGGGTTAAGCACTCGTCCAGCCAATTCTTAAATAGATGCACCTGGCTCTCTAGACCCCAGCCTTGCCTACCTATAGCCACAACCTGCCAGGGTGGCACAAGGGTTGGAAAGCCAGGGCCACAACCTGGCACTCTTTATGAAGCCAGGGAAGCTTGGTAGAGCAAATATCAACCCAAAACTGAGAGTAAACCACAAGAAAGCCTAAGCATAACAAAACAAGCAATTGATTTAGGAAAATTAGATACCCAGAGGTAACGAGGCAAACAATTGTCTCCACAGAATAAACAACCTAATCTTAGTTTATAGAAAATTTTGCAGGTTACAGCAACTTTTTCAAGTTCTTTCCATAAAATTTAAATAAAATATCCCTTACTCAATAGGTTAAAATAATAAGAATCCATCTATATATAAATAATCCTTAACGGCTGGGAAAACCCATGATATTATAATTATAATTCATTGTGTTGGGAACAGGCAGCCAGAGTGTATTCATACATGTTATGTTTATATTGAGGTTCCCCTTCCCTCCAAAGGTTGAATTACTGACCCCGCCCAGGCTGTAACCCCACAACAAGCTGATTAACTCTTGAGCACCTACTTACTGCTAGGTGAACAGTTGCATTAGGTGATAAGAAATGCACCCAACCATTTTTGGGTCCATTTTGGGTGCAGATTAGGACATGCACCCAGCCAACAAATCCCACCTGGGATTCAAACCCAGAATTCTCGATTGTGAGTCAAGAACGAAACCGATTGTACTGTACTACTGGGACTCTAAATGGCATATGTGGAATGGCATTTTACATTTAATAGCCTCCAAAAAGGAAAGTATCACTGTATTTACTGTGCTAAAAGTAGGCTAATGCTCCTCTTGTACTTTTCTAGTTATGTTTCAGGGTTTGTAGGGGGGAATATTGGCTCAATGGACATAAAACACAAACTGTAGCTGAAGGGTTATTCAGCTTGTGCATTTGCTTAAACCAGCTTTAATTATGACAATGTTTTTGTAAGAACAAAAAATTCTGATTTAAGGACCTGTGCCGGATTCATCAAGCAATTACGCAAGTTGTTATTAACCTGTACATCTTTTCTCAATCTTTGGTGGTTTTGCTTACATATATTAAACAGTTTATGAGCTGTGAAGCACTAGGAGGCTGTTCATAACAACAACAACATTTGATTGGAAAAATTTGATGCTCATAAGCTTTTTAATAAATTAAACACAACTGTCAAAGATTTAGAAAAGATGCACTACTTGTAAGTACGTACTTATGTAACTTCTTAACGAATCCACCCCTAATTCTGATTGTGGCCAATCATGAGATTGTGCCCTCAAATTAGGCTCCAGTAAATTGGGGCACACACCTGTGGAGAATTTATTAATGTATTAGCCAGGTGTAGGGGCACTGTTGTATGCAGCAACAGAGCCTCATTATCTGCCAAGGGACAGAAACCAGGGCATACACTTGGAGATCTGTAGTAAACACACATGCGGACCCAAAAATGCAATCAGATACCCAGTGTACTCTTCCAAGGATCTGAACACATTGTGCCGCATATTGAGACTCGGAATCAGGTTTAACATTAGCAGGAAATGCCATAAGGCCCCAACCTGTGAAGACTTGATATAGGAAAATATATTGAAGCATGGCAATACCATGGTAAGGCCCAAAGTGACAGCGAGTAGATGCTAGATGTGTACTCAGCTGTACACTCATTCAAGCTTGTACAGCCACCAACCAGCAGGGAAGGCAAGTGTAATGACAATCTAAACAAAACAGAAATAATAACAAAGCCAACAACACCCTTGAGTGAAATATACGGCTATGGAGAACTGCCACAGGATCCCGCAAAATGACACATTAAATGCTTCCACTGCACCACAGTGCTGGTGTTAAAATGTGACTTTGTGCAAAAGAAAAAACTAGGCTCTGGTACAAATGTATTAACTATACCAGGTCTCATATTAAGACTTGGATGAGGAGGATTATAAATATCTTATCAAAGAACATTGTTTATAACTGTAAAGAACATGTTTAATAATAGCCATAACTGTTGTCATAGTTTTGTTTTTTCAGATTGGACTAAAAAACAACTGTACATTTTGTGGTGTGTTTAGAAGACAAGCATTGGACCGTGGAGCCAGTTTACTGAAGGTTGACAAGATTGTGACCGGACATAATGCAGATGACATCGCTGAGACAGTCTTGATGAATATTTTGCGAGGTGACATTGCCAGACTTCAGAGATGTACAGCTATAGTAACTGTGAGTGTGGTAATTATTGTTTATTTTGTTTCTGATGAGCTCGTCTGTAAACTAGGCTTTAAGTGTATGATGTTTGTAAAGAACATTTCTGAGTAGACTCGCTTGGTTGCCCCTTAAAATAAGATTCTGCTCACTATGGCAGAGCAAATCATGCAGTCGGGCAGGGTAACATTCTGGGCATTTGAGGAAATCGTCCAGCTTGTAGATGGAAATCGTCCAGCTCAAAGCATTCATGCTCAAAGTATTTACAAGGCCTTCTTGGCAACCCAAAGATTGCCAAGGAGTGCCCTAGCAAACAACATTTTAAGTTGTTGAGCCACCCACCTCTCCCACCAGCAGATGGTAGCACCTGAACCACAACACAGTCCACCTCACCAAGTTCATCCACATTTTTCCTGATAGAAAACACTACATATAGGGAAGGCCATGAATAAAGAAGGAGTTGAGGGTGGCCAAGTAAGTTTGCTTTTTTTAATTTTCACTCAAGGCTTATTGTTTTGAGGTGTCCCACTTGATTGCATCCTTAAATGAGCCTAGGCTCCAGAAGAAAATTTTTAAAATTTAAAAAAAGAAAAGAACTTAACTAAGCTGTTTTGCAGAGTGGTGTCCACCTGTACATGAAGACTGTAGTCAGCTCAAGGTACTAGCTGGATAACAGGAGAGAGTGCCTACACAAACAGCAGCTGGCAGATAGTTACCAGGTGGAGAGGTGGCTGAGAACCACATACTGTATAGATAAAGATACAAACCTTCAGATGCAACAGCCAAAAAAAAAAAATGCTGAACAGATAAAAAATAATGAGAACTGCCAGGAAAACGTAGACAACGCAGTATCGTATATCATTATCCTGGGAGATTTCTGTCTTTGAAATTTGAGATGGAAGATTATAGGAAATAATAATACTGTATTCCCCCCCCCAAAAAAAGGAGAGCCTAGACTAACAAGCACACACCAGAGAGCTAATGAGACTGCGACAAGTGAGTGCTGAACGAACAGGTAGTTGACCCAGCTGGAAAGGATAACATATTTAACCTGATCTTCACAAATAATGAAGAACTTAAAAAAAAAAAAAATCAGGGACATCATAAGCTCAATTACATCTTACTCAAACCACAACATCAATGAAGTTAAAAAAAAAAAATATAAATTTATATACTGTATGTCCAAAACACATCTCATGAGAGGGGTCATTTAATAAATTTAATTTCAACAATTAGGGGATTGCCTGGGATAAAAATAAACTGAGTTATTAACCAATTCCAGGGTACAACATTGTTTTCTCAAACTTCAAAACAGTGTATAGATACATTAAATGCAGAAGCATATAAAATGTGTATATAATATGCTCCTCTACAACAAAAATTAAAGGGCCAACTTCTAAAGAGAACATTAGTAACTATTGTATACGGAAGAAGGAAGATTACAAAAACACTGAGGTGGACAGAAATGTCGTCCAAAGGTAGGCAAACATTCACAGTAAAATCAGAGATAGAGCAAAAAACAAAAGTGTAGGCTCCCTTACAGAACGTATAAGAGGAGATACATACAATAAAACCAATAAAAAATTGAGTATAATCTTGAAAGAACAATTTCAGTCCATATTTAGCAATGAAATGAAGATAGTGAAAGTGGAAGATTCTTATAACTTTTTCATGAGCTTGGCCCACACAAAAAGGTAGATTTCAGATATTACATTAAACCCCACACCCTTTGGAAAAGAAATACCCCACAGCCTGCCTCCTCTCTCCTGCCCTCCTTCCCTGCCTGGCAGCCAGCCTGCCCACCCTGCCTCCCTCCCCTCCTGCCTAGCAGCCAGCCTGCCCACCCTGCCTCCCTCCCCTCCTGCCTAGCAGCCAGCCTGCCCACCCTGCCTCCCTCCCCTCCTGCCTCCCTCCCCTCCTGCCTAGCTGGCTGGCTCCCTTTTTACCTCCCTCCCTCCTTCACCAGTTTGCCAAGAAATTTTGATAATTTCACAAGTTTCAAATTTCAAATTATATAAATAATTGTGATGGGCTGTGAGTTATGGCAAGTGGTGTACAACGAGTGTTAGGCTGGGCGCTTCACTTGTTTATCTCTCGGTGGTAAAGGTTCACATTTTATGTTTGGCAGACAAGTCGACCCCTGGTTTTGGAGATCTTTTTTAGCCTTCAAAGGTTGACTTGTACAGTAAGTATTCCCATGTACTCAACTTCCAGGGGAGGAGGGGTGGGGGCAGATTCCTTGAGTTCACTTTTTATAAAGATGTGCAAAATATCATCAGCACAGGCACTCAATATAATATAAAGGAAAATCTGTTAAGGTAGGTGACATCATGTACACCTAAAAAACAGCAGAAATTACCCCATGTTACAAAGGAGGAAGTAAAAGCACTGGCAAAAAATTATACTTTACTCTCACTGATTTCACACATCATTCATATTTTTGAGAGGGTGCTAAAAAGCCAACTTACCAATTATTATGGTAAAGAATGAGTTTACACTGCAAATCAGTGCTAATTTAGAGAATGAAGATTTGTATTTTTTAAAATACCTCCATAATTTTAATGCCTACAAAAATTTTTGCAACCACGACAAAATTATGGAAGCATTGGAAATGAAAATGAAAATGAAGATGTTGTATACACCAATTTTGTAAAACCATTTGATAAGTGTGACCAAGAAATAATAGCCAATAAAGTAAAAGCAAAGGGTAAAGTTAAGAGATGGGATTTTTTAAATTTCTAATGAACAGATCACAATGTCTGTCAATAAATAAAAATATTGAGCACAAGTACAGCACAATGTTTGGTTCCACAGTATACAGTTCTTGTGGTGATACTTGGTCATTTTTATTAAAGACATAGGCAGTCATTGAAGCTGCAGTCTCATGTCATCCTTCACTTATGACAACAAAATAAGTACAGTATGAAAATTGTCTTTGGGTAAGATGCCCCAAAATTACAATCAGATATTAACAAGGTACAGTATTCAAATAGACAATAAAAAATAATCAAGTGTTATATATATTGACGATTTTTTCTGGTGAGCTTTAGGAACTCGTGCCAGGCCTCCGAAGCCCCACCTGATTCTATCAGGAGCCAGGACCATTATCTGCCTCTTATTACAAGGTGATAGAAGCTAGAGAATCAACCAAAAATTTAGAAAAACCCACCACAAAGTAGGTTTGTGATGAGTTTTTTCTAAATCTGTAAGTTTGTAAGCTCATCAAAACAGGCAACTGCTTGAAGGTAATTATTAACCCTGAGGAAAACATTGTAAACAATTGTTGCTTTAGGGTAGACACCCCCAGCTGTGATGCATCTAACTTCCTCATAGACAACTGCTTCTAACTAAGGCTTCCACCAGTTGACCAGAAAGCCAAAGCTTGCGAGCCGGGAAAGAATTGGATCCTTAGCCAGCACATGAGCTAAACAACTGGAGGCCTGAACAAGTCAATCATTGAGGTAAGCCAGAACTCTGAGCCCCAGCAGATGAAGATGCTGAAGAGACACTTAAGTCAGTCTGGTTAAAATTCTGGAATCCAGGTTCAGACCAAATAGCAGATTTTGAAAGTGGGACGAGAAGTGCCTCACTCTAAACCCCAGCCAATCTCTGTACTCTGGTGGAATGGAATGTGCCAGTAGACAATCCGAATCTTCAGGGAAACTCTCCAAGTCATTCAAAACCACCTGCTAGATCTGTGACTCATTTTTAATTATCAGGGGAAAGTGCCAAGCCATTAGACTTTATAGCACTGGAAAGGGCTCAGGATAAGAATTTGGGATGGGACGGGGGGAAAGGAATGCTGCCCAATCACTTGGACAGTCGGAGATTGAACGCCGACCTGCATGAAGTGAGACCGTCACTCTATGGTTCAGTCAGAGTGGTCATTCAAAGTGTGGAACAAATAATGCTGTACTGGTTGAGAACAAACAGGTCCAGATTGAAGTGAGTTACCATACCAGATTGAAGTAAGTTTCCAGAGAAGCTGTTGGGAACAAGTAGGAAATGAGACCCTCTGGAAGGATGTGGTCATCACAAGCACACCCTTTCCAATATATCACGAATGATGTTGCAGAGTAGAGGAGTAGATGGATGGTCCCATGAGACACTGGAGGGCGAAAGGAGGACCAAACCCACCAAAGAACCTGAGACCAATCAATATATTCCCAGGTATTCCAAAACTAAGGTGCTAAAAGGAGCTCAGATGTCAACAAAAAATACCATTATTGTGGCATATAAGAAAAAAGTCTGATGGGAGGAACCCCATGCTGACCCAAAGACCTGAGCAATTGGCGAGAATGCCTCCCTGCATAGAGCCGTAAGGCACACCAGAACCCTTACTTCGAACAAGAGTCTGAAAGGTGCACACTGGGCCATTGAGAAGACAGAATCTGAGCCAACAGCCACTGCTTAAACACCTAGCTAAGTAGCTACACCCACTGCCCCTAAAACAAATATTGCCCCTTTAAGACAAATATTGAGGTCAGTCATAGCAGTAGAAAACAAAATTGATGACTGATATTTTGACAACAATCTGGTAACAAAAGACAACCATCCCACTCCTGGCTGAATTCAAATTTAGCATTCAATTTATCAAACATACAATACTCTGCTTCACATTCCTTCAACTCTGTTTTTGACTGTTATATGCTTTATTAATATTACTGAATGTCAGGGATGGGAAGCATATTAGGCTTATTGAGGTACAGTGTTAATAACCAAGGTTGAGGCATCCTGTACCATCACCCAACCAGCTATTGGCTAGACTCATCGGTGCTCAACCAATTTTCTGAGATGTTGTCCTCCATTGCTTTACTTTCGTTTTAAATTAAACCACTTTGCTAAACAAGCCCTTTTTCAAAATATTGAAACTTTATGGTTAGACAACACAAACTGATACAATATTAGCTTAAAAGTTTAATTCATTTATTGTGAGTTAAAAGTTTAATTCATTTATTGTGAGTTTATATTCTTAATGCTGTATAGAAGTGAACCAGTACCAGGGTTTATGCTGGTCGTGGTACATTGGTACACTGCTAGTGCTGTATCACTAGTATGTCTTCACTTTCAAGGTGTACTATAATATTCACAAAGTGGAGGATTTGGAAAATATTCTCTTATTTGATAGCCTACATGAAGTGCAGAAATTACAGTTAAAATATAATATATTTTCTTCAAAAGCTTCATGTGTATTGTTTAATGTTTTCAGGGTTCTGAAGGTACAATCCCAAGATCTAAGCCATTCAAGTATACATATGAGAAGGAAATTGTTATGTATGCTTATTTTAAGAAGCTGGATTATTTTTCAACTGAATGCATTTATTCACCAAATGCCTATCGTGGATATGCCCGATCATTCTTAAAGGACTTAGAGAAGATTAGGGCAACTTCTATCATTGACATTATTCATTCAGGTGAGTTAAGATACAATGAACTTGTTTTAACATTCTTGAGATGATCACAAGGAATTTCTATCCCTTTATAATGAGTGGTACTGACAAGCAGAAATTAAACGCCTACATAATGGGAATTGTATCACAATGTGATGTGAATGTATACTTAATGTTGAAACACTGTAATTATCATTCTGGGTTTAAACATACAGTGCAGTACATGATCATTATTACCCAAGTTTCAACTTTCATGGGTTAGGGAAGCATGGGGGTCAGAAAAAAATGGAAACAGTGTAGTAAGTGAAGTTTGTATATATTGAAAAAGCGTATCATTTGCCAAGTTATTGCATCAGTCACACTATATAATTCACAAGTTGTGGGATGAGCACATTAACACTGCACCATTGTTGGAGGAAGAGAGCAAAGTAGAGTCATTAGAAATAGAATGGATAGCATTAGGTGTGCTGTGAAGAAAATAATTGATGAATACTAAGAAATGAGCATGCAATTGAATACAACTATGTGGAACACCTTAGTTAATGGGGGAAGAGGCATAAGTTGCACCATCTATAACAGCAGTGATAGATCTACCAGTGAGCAAGCTGGAAATATGTGAATAGAGAGAAGGTAGAGAGCCAAGGGCTGTAGGTTTAGAGAGTAAAAGATGTGTGCAATTCTCTGTCAAAAGCTTTGTAATTATACAGGATAATGGTAAAATATTCACCTTAATCACAAAGTGAGGTGGACTATATATAAGTAAGAGATCACCAGTCAAACAATCCACCGCTCCTGTGCCAGGTAAGTCTACTACGGGCTCACCATAGCCCGTGCTACTTGGAACTTTTTTGTTCCAAGTAGCCGAATCTAAAACAACAACAACCACCAGTCAAACAGTTACAGCCCCGCTCGTGTGCCAGGTATGTCCACTACGGGCTCACCATAGCCCATGCTACTTGGAACTTTTGTTCCGAGTAGCTGAATCTAAAAACAACAACAACAACCAGTCAGACATGCCTTGTGGAAGCTATATTGGTGGTCAGGGAGATTGCAGTGCTTTAGATGTGTAACAAATGTTTCACTGGTCTAACATCCTGAGGGAGAAATTGTTAGATACTTAACATCTCTGGGTGTGGAGTTAGTGTATTGCTGAATTAAACTGCAGAAGAATCTGCTGCACCACTATATTGTACCTTAAATGCAGATCAGTATAGGGCTACACATCATACTGTTATTTAATTATTTGCAGTAATTTTTTATATTACATTTATTACTGACAAACATAATCACTGCTGTTTAATTAGGTGAGTGTTTCTCTGTGCGTGAGGGTGTCAAACTTCCAACTCAAGCAACATGTGCGCGTTGTGGCCATATCTCTTCCCAGCCAGTATGTAAAGCTTGTGTACTTCTTGAGGGTCTGAACAAGGGCAAACCAAGACTTGGGATTGGCAAAACTTCCAAGATTCAAGAGCATATGGACAACAATGCAAAAGAGAAATCTGGCAGTGGGTCCGCACCTAACTGTCACAACTCTGTCGCTGATGCAGGCAGGCTCACTCTGCATGCTAAAAGCAAAAATTTAGATTTTTGACGACTGCTGAGTATATTTAATGCTAAGAAGATTATATTAAACTTTTACAAATTTTAATAAATATTAACATATTAATATCTGTTTTAGACTTAATCCTCTGATCTTGTTGGAATAATGGATAATGGAATATTTGTTACTGATGAAACATCAGGGGATGCTCAATAATGAGAACTACAGTAATCAGAATCTCTGAGTAATTGCAACACTTGAATGTTTGAGGAATAACATGATGCACATAGCCGATTCCAGTGGTCTACGAGTACCAAGTACTGACGTAAACATGTAAATGTTCAACTAATTCAAGGAAAAAACGATAATGGGGGGGTAATACTAACTGGATGCTAACTGTATCACATCTTGCTAACTGGCAGCAATATCTCATAGATTTTGAGGTAACAACAGGAGTTGGAGTGAGCTGGAAACATTGCTTCATTCTGGAATACTTTTTCTTGCATTGTTTATCCTTGTAGGTAGTCACAGCACCATTGTTTATCCTTGTAGGTAGTCACAGCACCATTATTTATCCTTGTAGGTAGTCACAGCACCATTGTTTATCCTAGTAGGTAGTCACAGCACCATTGTTTATCCTTGTAGGTAGTCACAGCACCATTGTTTATCCTTGTAGGTAGTCACAGCACCATTGTTTATCCTAGTAGGTAGTCACAGCACCATTGTTTATCCTTGTAGGTAGTCACAGCACCATTGTTTATCCTTGTAGGTAGTCACAGCACCATTGTTTATCCTTGTAGGTAGTCACAGCACCATTGTTTATCCTTGTAGGTAGTCACAGCACCATTGTTTATCCTAGTAGGTAATCACAGCACCATTGTTTATCCTTGTAGGTAGTCACAGCACCATTATTTATCCTTGTAGGTAGTCACAGCACCATTGTTTATCCTTGTAGGTAGTCACAGCACCATTGTTTATCCTTGTAGGTAGTCACAGCACCATTGTTTATCCTTGTAGGTAGTCACAGCACCATTGTTTATCCTTGTAGGTAGTCACAGCACCATTATTTATCCTTGTAGGTAGTCACAGCACCATTGTTTATCCTTGTAGGTAGTCACAGCACCATTGTTTATCCTAGTAGGTAATCACAGCACCATTGTTTATCCTTGTAGGTAGCCACAGCACCATTGTTTATCCTTGTAGGTAGCCACAGCACCATTGTTTGTCCTTGTAGGTAGTTACAGCACCATTGTTTATCCTTGTAGCTAGTGCAATACTCAAATTAATCAACATGTGTAACCCAGCCTAATACGGCTCATTGTTTTTACAAAATTGACAAATCTGTCGTAAATGCCATGAATCAGTAAAACATTCAAGCTCCCTTATATATGAACATTTTCTATGCAACGGCCTCAATAGGTTAGGTGGGTTGCTTGGGTGCGTGCTTTTCTAGTTGGGCCAAACAGTTGCATTTTTTAACTTAGTGGCAAATCGAGGGAACAGTCTGCATCAGTCAAGCTAGAAACCGCAGTACATACCAAAACTTCTATTTCATCCTCAATACCAGAGTGAGCTTAGTAACTCATCATACCAATGAGTTTCTCACATTGTGTTGATGAGTATGATGAGTTACCTTACCCAGTATTCCCACATAGTGAGGTAAGGCTTGCTATATATTTATATATACAGTATATATATATATATATATGGGTCAAATTTAGTCACGAGATTCATCAGTCCCAAGAAATTTCAATTCTACAGTGATCCAAATGTCTTGTTACCATGAAAGATAGATCATGCTCAATTAATGTGTGAATAATACCTGCAACATGCTACAAGACATGTATGAATAATACCTGCAACATACTGCACATATGTGAATAATACCTGCAACATACTGCACATATGTGAATAATACCTGCAACATGCTACAAGACATGTATGAATAATACCTGCAACATACTACAAGACATGTGTGAATAACACCTGCAACATGCTGCAAGACATGTGTGAATAACAGCTGCAAGACATATGTAAATAACACTTGCAACATGCAATACATGTGATTCACAGCTGCAACATGCTGCAAGTCATGTATGAATAACACCTGCAATATATGTGAGAAACACCTGCAACATACTGCAAGACATGTCTTACAGTATGTTGCAGGTGTTATTCATACATGTTGCTAGTATTCGCAATATCCTTTAATTTGTTCTTCCAAATTTTTTGTGTGGGTGCACACACCTGACTGATTTAAATACATATGTCAATATTTGACGAGTTGGGCTATTTACATATTGTTCAATTACAACAGTGTGTCCCGCCAATCACTCCACCCACCAGCAGATGTTGACGGCTTGTACGCAAAATGTTTGCAAACAAACTGCACACAGACTTTGTTGATGGTGAACGCTTGAATGTGTTCATCTCCGTTGAGCGTTAATGTCGATTTTTATCTTTTTCTTTTAACTATCTGTTGTTTGCCATTGCACTAAATGTTAGATGTGGTTTGTCAGATTGGGCCAGTGAGATAGGTGTTGGCAGTCATTTAGGTGACGATCTAGCTAGTAGGCTACATGATTGATACGCTGAAATTAGCTCACACGCACACACACTAGGAAGTGATGTGGTGGAGGCTGACTCCATACACAGCTTCAAGTGTAGATATGATAAGAGCCCAGTAGGCTAAAGAATCTGTACATTAGTTGATTGACAGTTGAGAGGCAGGACCAAAGAGCCAGCGCTCAACCCCCGCAAGCACAACTGGGTAAGTACAGACACACATACATTTGGATACCTGCTTAATGGGGTTCTGGGAGTTCTTCTACTCCTCAAGCCCGGTCCGAGGCCAAGCTTGACTTGTGAGAGCTTGGTCCACTGGGCTGTTGCTTGGAGTGGCCTGCAGGCCCACATACCCACCACAGCCCAATTGGTCCAGCGCTCCTTGTAGAAAATTATCTAGTTTTCTCTTAAAGGTGTCCACGGTTCCTCAGGCAATATTTCTTATACTCGCTGGGAGGATGTTGAACAACCGTGGACCTCTCATGTTTATACAGTGTTCTCTGATTGTGCCTATGGCACCCCTGCTCTTCACTGACTATTCTGCATTTTCTTCCATATCGTTCACTCCAGTAAGTTATTTTATTGTGTAGATTTGGGATCTGGCCCTCCAGTATTTTCCATGTGTATATTATTTGATATCTCTCTTGTCTCCTTTCTAATGAGTACATTTGGAGAGCTTTGAGACGATCCCAATAATTTAGGTGCTTTATCGCATTTAGGATCTTCACTGCTAATTATTGACAGCACGATCAGTTAGTCTGATAAATCCACGCCTCCGGGAATGATGTTTGCTTCACCTCCAGAAGAAGTAAATCTCTCAAGACTACTCAACATATTCATGGAACGATATCACAGCAGCTGACAGACATTTGCTTTGAAAAATGATGTCGGATTTGAAAGATTTGTTGACAGTTTCAGCCATTTTTCTGCTAGTTAAAATTTGTCGAGCTCTTATCAATTAGTTACTGCATATCATCCTTCTCTTTATCTCAATTATCTGAAATTTTATATATTATTATATAGGGTTACCAACTAACTCATGGAACCGCCAACCCACTGAAGCCGTAATTTAAAATCCTGCTGGAAAAAGCCCTCAGGAATAATGGGGGGATACATTTGACAAGCTGCCGACTTCCTGTCCCTGTCAAGGCCATTAGGAGATAGTAGCCCCTATATATATATATATATATATATATATATATATATATATATATATATATATATATATATATATTTATTATATATATATATATATATATATATGTCGTACCTAGTAGCCAGAACGCACTTCTCAGCCTACTATTCAAGGCCCGATTTGCCTAATAAGCCAAGTTTTCCTGAATTAATATATTTTCTCAAATTTTTTTCTTATGAAATGATGAAGCTACCCATTTCATTATGTATGAGGTCATTTATTTTTTATTGGAGTTAAAATTAACGTAGATATATGACCGAACCTAACCAACCCTACCTAACCTAACCTAACCTATCTTTATAGGTAAGGTTAGGTTAGGTAGCCAAAAAAGTTAGGTTAGGTTAGGTTAGGTAGGTTAGGTAGTCGAAAAACAATTATTTCATGAAAACTTGGCTTATTAGGCAAATTGGGCCATGAATAGTAGGCTGATAAGTGCGTTCTGGCTACTAGGTACGACATATATATATATATATATATATATATATATATATATATATATATATATATATATATATAGTCGTACCTAGTAGCCAGAACGCACTTCTCAGCCTACTATGCAAGGCCCGATTTGCCTAATAAGCCAAGTTTTCATGAATTAATATATTTTCTCAAAAATTTTTCTTATAAAATGATAAAGCTACCCATTTCATTATGTATGAGGTCAATTTTTTTTTATTGGAGTTAAAATTAACGTAGATATATGACCGAACCTAACCAACCCTACCTAACCTAACCTAACCTATCTTTATAGGTTAGGTTAGGTAGCCGAAAAAGTTAGGTTAGGTTAGGTAAGTTAGGTAGTCGAAAAACAATTAATTCATGAAAACTTGGCTTATTAGGCAAATCGGGCTTTGCATAGTAGGCAGAGAAGTGCGTTCTGGCTACTAGGTACGACATACATTATATATATATATATATATATATATATATATATATATATATATATATATATATATATATATATATATATATTTATTTATTTATTACAGCACAGTATATTATTAGCATATTTTGTCATAGTATTTAATATAACAAGAATGATTAGATGAATAATGATAGCATGAATATTCTATATATTTTTTTATGTTCTCTCGAGAAGGAAGCTGAACAATTAACTCATAGAAGTTCATTTTACAAATTTATTATGGCATGACGCTATGAGATGCGTTTCGTTGAACCTGTCAACATTTTCAAGGGCAGAGGCGAAGTGTATATAAGCTAGCCTGAGTGACCAAATATATACACCAAGTCACTGCCCCGCTTCTGTGCCAGGTAAGTCCACTACGGGCTCACCATAGCCCGTGCTACTTGGAACGTTTTGTTCTGAATAGCTGAATCTAAAAAAACAACGACCAAATATATAACC